TGATGGGAAAGGTTGAGCTGCAGCTGGAGCTGGATACAGTCCTGATACGCAGAGAAGACGCGCTGGTCCTCCTCAACCACCTTGTCCGGTTTACGCAGGAAGTACTGAGCGTTGTTGGCGCTGTTCAGAGGAGGAAGATCTATGCTCTGAAGGAGAGTCTCCAGACGATGGCACGCCAGGTTATATCTGTGGAGAGGAGAGCACGCCAGGTTATATCTGTGGAAAGGAGAGCACGCCAGGTTATATCTGTGGAGAGGAGAGCACGCCAGGTTATATCTGTGGAGAGGAGAGCACGCCAGGTTATATCTGTGGAGAGGAGAGCACGCCAGGTTATATCTGTGGAGAGGAGAGCATGTTAGGACTAAACCAGGACTAAACTGGGACAAAATCAAGTCTAAAACCGGGACTAGACCAAGGACTAAACCAGGTTTAAACCCGGGTTATTTGTTAGTGTTTTTCCAGTGAAGATGTTGTGGGTCATATCGGTGTATTTGAGTGAGAAGAATCTACTTCATCATTTGCTGTTAGTTTAATTATCCACAATTTAGGACACAGCATTAAAAAGTTATAAAATGATAGTGAGTGATGTAATCAGCACAAACTGAATTTGACTTTAAACACATTATTATTGGACACAGGCAGCTGCTTCATTGGAAAAATGTTTCCACCTTCCACCCAAAGTTCCTCAGGAGTCGGACACTTGGTTTAGTGACACTGAGCTCCTGGCTCCACTGCTCGTGTGTATTTCCCTCTACACGAACTTTTGGACGTGTAACTTTTAGAATCCTGTAAAGTGAGTGAGGTTCCTCTGTTCTCTCTAGATGTTTGTCTGGAGCAGTTCGTCCTGCTCGTGGAGATTTGAGAAAACAGGATCCATCCTGTTTTTTGAGTTTGTCCGTGGGCGTAGGCACGTGTCCTCGTCAAAATCCACAGAACATGAATGTTTGTTTGTATTTGTGAGTTTCCATCAGCTCCTCGTGTCCTGGGGCAGATCTGTGTCGTGTGAAAGACTCAGCTCCACAAACACTCTTCATAAGAGTTTAAAATGTCCTTTTGAAACGGTGTTTGTGGTGGTGAGTGTGGACGGAAGGTAAACACAAGTGTTTCTCTGTGGACCTGATACAAACGACTAAACGCCTCAGTCAAGTTTGATCGACTTTACACTGACAAACACAGAGTCAGTGCTGCGCGTGGACGTCATGTTCCTGTACCTGCACCGTATGTCCTCCTGCAGGCCTGTGGGTGGTGTTCTTGGGTGATGTTTGGTGTTGTGGGTGGTGTCGTGGGTGGTGTTCTTGGGTGATGTTTGGTGTCGTGGGTGGTGTCGTGGGTGGTGTTCTTGGGTGATGTTTGGTGTCGTGGGTGGTGTTCTTGAGTGATGTTTGGTGTCGTGGGTGGTGTTCTTGGGTGATGTTTGGTGTCGTGGTGGTGTTCTCGGGTGCGGGTGGTGTGTGGGTGGTGTCTTGGGTGAGTTTGGTGTGTTGTGTGTGGGTGTGTGGTGTTTCGTGGTGTCGTGGTGGGTTCTTGGGTGTTTGGTGCGTGGGTGGTGTTCTTGGAGTTTGGTGTTGGTGGTGTTCTTGGTGTTTGGTGTCGTGGGTGGTGTTCTTGGGTTTTTTGGTGTCGTGGGTGTGTTCTTCTGAGTGGTGTCGTGGTGGTGTTCTGGGTGTTTGGGTGTGTGGGTGGTGTTCCTCGGGTGGTGCCGTGGTGGGTGGGTTGTTCTCGGGTGATGTTTGGTGTTGTGGGTGGTGTGGGTGTCTCGGGTGTGTTTGGTGTTGTGGGTGGTGTTCTTGGGTGATGTTTGGTGTTGTGGGTGGGTGTGGGTGGTGTTCTTGAGTGGTGTGTGGGGTGTGGTGTGTTCTTGGGTGATGTTTGGTGTCGTGGGTGTGGTGTTCTTGGTTCTTTGGGTGGTTTTGTGTTCGTGGGTGGTGTTCTTCGTTGTTGGTGTCTGGGTGGTGTTCTTGGGTGTTTTTCGGTGTCGTGGTGGTGTTCTCCTTGGGTGGTGTCGGGGTGTTGTTCTTGGGTGATGTTTGGTGTTGGTGTTCTTGGGGTGATGTTTGGTGTTGTGGTGTGTCGTGTGGGGTTCTTGAGTGGTGTCGTGGGTGGTGTTCTTGGGTGATGTTTGGTGTCGTGGGTGGTGTTCTTTGGGTGATGTGGTTTCGTGGTGTTTCTGGGTGATGTTTGGTGTCGTGGGTGGTGTTCTTGGGTGATGTTTGGTGTCGTGGGTGTTGTTCTTGGGTGATGTTTGGTTTTGGGTGGGTTCTCTGTGTCGTGGTGGTGTTCTTGAGTGGTTTGGTGTCGTGGGTGTGTTCTTGGGTATGTTTGTGTTCGTGGTGTGGGTGATGTTTGGGTGTCGTGGGGTGTTCTTGGTGTGTTTGTGTCGTGGGTGGTGTTCTTGGTGATGTTTGTGTGTGTGTGTCGTGGGTGTGTTTTTGGGTGATGTTTGGTGTTGTGGGTGTGTCGTGGGTCTGGGTGGTGTTGTGGGGTGTTTTGGTGTTTTGTGGGTGCGTGTCGTGGGGTGTTCTGGGTGATGTTTGGTGTGTGGGTGGTGTTTTCGGGTGGGTGGTGTCGTGGGTGGGTTCTGGGTGCGGGTGGTGTCGTGGGTGTGTTCGTGGGTGTGGGGTGGTGTGTGGGGGTGTTCTGAGTGGTGTGTGGGTGTTGTTCTCGGTGTGGTGGTTGTGTGTCTGGGTGGTTTCGTGGTGTGTGTTGTGGTGGTGTCGTGGGTGGTGTGTGGTGGTGTTCTCGGGTGGTGTCGTGGGTGGTGTTCTCGGGTGATGTTCTCGGGTTTGTGTCGTTGGTGTCGTGGGTGTTGTTCTCAGGTGATGTTTGGTGTCGTGGGTGTTGTTTGGTGTCGTGGGTGGTGTTCTCGGGTGCGGGTGGTGTCGTGGGTGGTGTCGTGGGTGGTGTTCCTGTACCTGCACTGTATGTCCTCCTGCAGGGCGACCATCATGGTGAGGTGCTGCTCCACCTCGGGTTGGGGGCAGGGTTCTCCGTCTCTCAGCGGGTCGTGGCTCAGCTTCAGGTCGCTCTCCCAGGGCAGGATGTACGTGTGACCGTAGTAAAAACCCAGAGGGATCTTTGCCCGAGCGTTTGTGCTGCCGTAGCGACCGATCACCGTGATCTGACGAGACAGACGAACGAGAAGAGAGGAACGAGAGAGGAACGACAGAGGAACAGAGGAACAAGAGAACAACGAGAGGAAGACAGAGGAGAGAGAGAACGACAGAGGAACAAGAGAGAGACAGAGAACGACAGAGGAACGACAAACAAGAGAGGAACAAGAGAGAGGAACGACAGAGGAACAAGAGAGAGAACGACAGAGGAACAAGAGAGAGGAACGACAGAGGAACAAGAGAGAGGAACGACAGAGGAACGACAGAGGAACAAGAGAGAGAGAAACGACAGAGGAACAAGAGAGAGGAACGACAGAGGAACAAGAGAGGAACGACAGAGGAACAAGAGAGAGGACGACAGAGGAACAAGAGAGAGGAACGACAGAGGAACAAGAGAGAGGAACGACAGAGGAACAAGAGAGGAACGACAGAGGAAAGAGAACAGAGGAACAGAGGAACAAGGAAGAGGAAACGACAGAGAACGACAGAGGAACAGAGAGAGAGGAACGACAGAGGAACAAGAGAGGAACAGAGGACAGAGGAACAAGAGAGAGGAACGACAGAGGAACAAGAGAGGAACGACAGAGGAACAGAGAGAGAAGAGAGAGGAACAAGAGAGGAACGACAGAGGAACAAGAGAGAGGAACGACAGAGGAACAAGAGAGGAACGACAGAGGAACAAGAGAGGAACGACAGAGGAACAAGAGAGAACGACAGAGGAACAAGAGAGAGAGAACGACAGAGGAACAAGAGAGGAACGACAGAGGAACAAGAGAGGAACGACAGAGGAACAAGAGAGGAACGACAGAGGAACAACAGGACAGAGGAACGACAGAGAGACAGAGAACAGAGAACGACAGAGAACAAGAGAGGACAAGAGAGAGGAACGACAGAGGAACAAGAGAGGAACGACAGAGGAACAAGAGAGGAACGACAGAGGAACAAGAGAGGAACGACAGAGGAACAAGAGGAGAAGAGAGAGGAGTTAGTTTGTGGTTCCACCATGATTAAAAAAAAAAGAAATGAAAAGGGTCTAAAAACGTTCTGAGGCGACTGTAGAAGCTCCTCAGATGTTGTCATCAGAAAAGTTGTTATTGTTCAGTTGTTAACTTCACATGAATTTAACATTAAATGTCCTGGTTTAGTCCTGGTTTAGTCCTTCAGTTTGTTCCTGGTTTCAGTCCTGGTCAGTCCTGGTTCAGTCCTGTTAGTCCTTAGACCTGGTTTAGACCTGGTTTAGACCTGGTTCAGTCCTGGTTATGGTCCTGGTTTAGACCTGGTTCAGTTCTGGTTTACCTGGTTTAGACCTGGTTTATCCTGGTTCCTGGAGTCCTGGTTCAGTCCTGGTTTAGTCCTGGTTTCTGGTTTAGTCCTGGTTTAGACCTGGTAGTCCTGGTTTAGTCCTGTTAGACCTGGGTTCAGTTCTGGTTTTGACCTGGTTCAGTCCTGGTTTAGTCCTGGTTTAGACCTGGTTCAGACCCGGTTTAGACCCGGTTTTAAAGTGCACCTTCATGAAGCGGCAGACAGGGGGCGGCAGCAGGTCGTGCAGGATGAGCGAGTGGGTGCTGATGTCGGTCGCCACGACGAGGCGGCGTCCGTCCACCTCCTCGCCGAGCGTCCACACGTCGATGGACAGAGACGCCAAGTCCGAACAAACCGGGATCAGAGCGTCTGTGAGGAGCACCGGACGACCGAAGTCCAGGGTCACGAACCGACGAGCTCCTGCAGAAGAGAAGAAGACGAGAAGGAGAGAGGAGAACAGAGAGAAGAGAACAGAGAGAGGAGAGAGGAGAACAGAGAGAGAGAAGAGAACAGAGAGAGGAGAGAAGAGAACAGAGAGAGAGAGAGGAGGAGAGAGAGAACAGAGAGAGGAGAACAGAGAGAGAGAGGAGAGAACAGAGAGAGGAGAACAGAGAGAGAGGAGAGGAGAGAACAGAGAGAGAGAGAAGAGAGAGAGAAGAGAACAGAGAGAGAGAGAGAGAGAGAGAGAGAACAGAGAGAGAGAAGAGAGAGAGAGAGAGAGAACAGAGAGAGAGAGAGGAGAACAGAGAGAAGAGAGAGAGAGGAGAGAGAACAGAGAGAGAGAGGAGAAGAGAACAGAGAGAGAGAGAGAGAGAGAGAACAGAGGAGAGAGAACAGAGAGAGAGAGAGAGAACAGAGAGAGAGAGAGAGAGAGAAGAGAGAGAGAGAGAGAGAGAGAAAGAGAGAGAGAGAGAGAGAGGAGAACAGAGAGAGAGAGAGAGAGAGAGAAGAGAGAGAACAGAGAGAAGAGACAGAGAGAGGAGAGAGAGAACAGAGAGAGAGAGAGAACAGAGAGAGGAGAGAGAAAGAGAACAGAGAAGAGAGAGAAGAGAGAGAGAGAGAGAGAACAGAGAGAGGAGAGAAGAGAACAGAGAGAGAGGAGAGAAGAACAGAGAGAGAGAGAAGAGAGAGAGAGAGAGAGAGAGAGAGAGAGAGAGAGAGAGGAGAGAGAGAGAGAGAGAAGAGAACAGAGAGAGAGAGAGAGAGAACAGAGAGAGAGAGAAGAGAACAGAGAGAGGAGAGAAGAGAACAGAGAGAGAGAGAGAGAGAAGAGAACAGAGAGAGGAGAGAAGAGAACAGAGAGAGGAGAGAGAGAGAGAGAGGAGAGAGAACAGAGAGAGAGGAGAAGAGAACAGAGAGAGAGAGAGAGAGAGAGAGAGAGAAGAGAGAGAAGAGAGAACAGAGAGAGGAGAGAAGAGAGAACAGAGAGAGAGAGAGAACAGAGAGAGAGAGAAGAGAACAGAGAGAGAGAGAGAAGAGAACAGAGAGAGAGAGAGAAGAGAGACAGAGAGAGAGAGAGAGAGAAGAGAGACAGAGAACAGAGAGAGAGAGAGAGAACAGAGAGAGAGAGAGAGAGAGACAGAGAGAACAGAGAGAGAGAGAGACGAGAGAGAGAGAGAGAGAGAACAGAGAGAGAGAGAGGAGAGGAGAGAGAGAGAGAGAGAGAAGAAGAGAACAGAGAGAGAGAGAGAGAGAGAGAAGAGAACAGAGAGAGAGAGAGAGAGAGAGAAGAGAACAGAGAGAGAGAGAGAGAGAACAGAGAGAGAGAGGAGAGAGAGGAGAAGAGAGAGAGAGAGAGAGAAGAGAAGAGAGAGAGAACAGAACAGAGAGAGAGAGGAGAGAAGAGAACAGAGAGAGAGGAGAAGAGAACAGAGAGAGAGAACAGAGAGAGAGAAGAGAGAGAGAGAGAGAGAGAGAGAGAGAAGAGAGAGAGAGGAGAAGAGAACAGAGAGAGAGAGAGAGAGAGAGAGAGAAGAGACAGAGAGAGAGAGAGAACAGAGAGAGAGAAAGAGAGAGAGAGAACAGAGGAGAGAGAGAGAGAGAGAGGAGAACAGAGAGAGGAGAGAGGAGAACAGAGAGAGGAGAGAAGAGGTGAGACGGAACGAGAAAGAGGTTTTTTATCATCAGCACAGTTCTGGAAAGTCTGAAAATATAATACGATTAAAAAAGTCTGGAGTCTTTTTATCATTTTACTTTCAGGTAACAAAAGTAAATAAAACTACAATTACACGGAGCACTGACAGTAGCAGTATTTGTAGTATTTGTAGTAGCAGTAGTAGTAGTATTAGAAGTATTTGTAGTCTTTGTAGAAGTAGTAGTAGTATTAGTAGTATTTGTAGTAGCAGTAGTATTTGTAGTAGTATTTATAGTAGTATTTGTAGTAGTTGTAGTATTTGTAGTATTTATAGTAGTCGTAGTATTTGTAGTATTTGTAGAAGTAGTAGTATTAGTAGTATTTGTAATAGTATTTGTAGTATTTGTAGTATTAGTAGTATTTTTAGTAGTATTTGTAGTATTTGTAGTAGTAGTATTAGTAGTAGTAGTATTTAGTAGTATTTGTAGTAGTATTTGTAGTAGTATTTGTAGTAGTTGTAGTAGTATTTGTAGTATTTATAGTATTTATAGTAGTCGTAGTATTTGTAGTATTTGTAGAAGTAGTAGTATTAGTAGTATTTGTAATAGTATTTGTAGTATTCGTAGTAGTATTTGTAGTAGTATTTGTAGTATTCATAGTATTTGTAGTAGTATTTGTAGTAGTATTTGTAGTAGTATTTGTAGAGTAGTATTTGTAGTATTGTAGTAGTATTTGTAGTAGTATTTGTAGTAGTATTTGTAGTAGTTGTAGTAGTATTTGTAGTATTTATAGTATTTGTAGTATTTATAGTATTTGTAGAAGTAGTAGTATTAGTAGTATTTGTAATAGTATTTGTAGTATTCGTAGTAGTAGTAGTATTTGTAGTAGTATTTGTAGTATTTGTAGTAGTATGTAGTAGTAGTAGTTTGTAGTAGTATTTGTAGTAGTATTTGTTGTAGTATTAGTAGTTGTAGTATTTGTAGTAGTATTTAGTATTTGTAGTATTTGTAGTAGTATTTGTAGTAGTATTTTGTAGTATTTGTAGTATTTTGTAGTATTTGTAGTAGTATTTGTAGTATTTGTAGTAGTATTTGTAGTAGTATTTGTAGTAGTATTTGTAGTAGTATTTGTAGTATTTGTAGTAGTATTTGTAGTATTTGTAGTAGTATTTGTAGTAGTATTTGTAGTAGTATTTGTAGTAGTATTTGTAGTATTTGTAGTATTTGTAGTAGTATTGTAGTAGTATTTGTAGTAGTATTTGTAGTATTTGTAGTAGTATTTGTAATAGTATTTGTAGTATTTAGTAGTATTTGTAGTAGTATTTGTAGTATTTGTATTTGTAGTTTTACCTGAGTGCATGCGTTCGATGATGATGGACTGATGAGGAGGCGGCTGCAGGAAGTGAGACGCCTGAGAAATGGCCAGAGCCAAACCGCTGCCCATCGCCCCCTACAGACACACAACAGAACTACAGCTAAAACACACAATAACACACCACACACACAACAACACACAACACACACACACAAACACACAGCCCATCGCCCCCTACAGACACACAACAGAACTACAGCTCAGAGACACAATAACACACAACACACACACACCACACAACACACACAGCCCATCGCCCCCTACAGACACACAACAGAACTACAACTCAGAGACACACCACACACACAACAACACTGATGTGTGTGTGGTGTGTGTGTGGTGTGTGTGTGGTGTGTGTGTGGTGTGTGTGTGTGTGTGTGTGTGTGTGTGTGTGTGTGTGTGTGTGTGTGTGGTGTGTGTGTGATAATCCTTGTGTCATTCATTCATTTTTCAAAATAAAACCAAAAATAGGAAGACAAAACAACTACAGTTTTCTTCATTATTTGTCTCCAAAACCAAAATGTAAAAACAGATAATGATTTGGTTTTTCAGTTTTTGATTTAGTGTTTAAATGAAAAATTATTTTTCCATTTTTCATTTAAACACAAAATCAAAATCAACTAAAAAAAACTAATCATTATCAGTTTTTACATTTTGGTTTTGGAGACAAATAATGAAGAAAACTGTAGTTGTTTTGTCTTCCTATTTTTGGTTTTATTTTGAAAAATGAATGAATGACACACGGATTGTGTGACGTGTGTGTTGTGTGTGTTGTGTGTGTGTTGTTGTGCGTCACCTGTTTGGTCTTGTGTGCGTTCTTGTGCGTTGTGTGTGTTGTGTGTTGTTGTGTGTGTTGTTGTGCGTCACCTGTTTGGTCTTGTGTGTGTTCTTGTGCGTCGCCAGGTTGACGGGACTCGGGTCCATCATGGATCCGGGGAACAGGTGGGCGAGCTCGGCGCTGAAGGCGGCGGACACGGCCTCGTTGGGCGGCGTGAGGGGCGGAGTCATGAAGAGGGGAGTGGTCTTTGGAGTGGGCGGGATCACGTCCGACGGGTGGATGAAAAAACCCGGAGCCGCGGACGAGTTGGAAGGCACTGAGTTATGGAGATGCCCCGAGGCGGCCGCGGCGGCAGCAGAGGTCGTCTGGTGCAGTTTGGCTTCAAGTTTTGCTTTCTGTAAAAACACAGAGTTTAGATTTGTGTAAAGACAGAGACGTGGTCAAACGTTGGTCTGGTACAGGGAGACGGTAAAAGACTCGACAGGTTTCAGGATCATCAAAATCAGATGGAGTCAGGAGGTAAAGAGACGCACAGAACCTCGTTTACCGACTCGACGCCAAAACACTAAAGGACCGTTCACACCAAAGAGTCAAAAAACGTCTTGACGCCTCTGTTTGGACGCCTTTGCATTTGAGTTTCGACGCCCCCGACGAACGGGACGAACGGGAGAAAAATACTTAACGCGCGTCCGTTGTCCTGGTAACAAGAGCCTGGTCCCGCTTTTTTCCAGACTGATAAGAGTGTTTTTATGACATAAAACATCGCTGGAGGAGATCGGGTCGACGACTGGGGCATGTTTATATTTATACTCCACTAATGACACTGGATCAGTCCCGGTCTGGTCCCGGTCTGGTCCCGGTCTGGTCCCGGTCTGGTCCCGGTCTGGTCCCGGTCTGGTCCCGGTCTGGTCCTCGCGAGCCGCTCGGTGATTGTGGTGTATATAATTATGTTCCGTTCATGTTTGTGGTTCTGGTTCTGGGGTTTTTCTTCCTGATAATAACGTCGCTGCGTCTCTGGATACTCGTCTCTGATTGGTCGACGCGGTGTGTCTGACGCGAAAAGTTCAGCATTTTCAACTTCTTGACGCTGATGCCTTGGACGCGCGTCTAGAGCGTCGAGGCCATAACGCTCAAGACGTGCCGCACTGATGCCGAAGACGCGTCGCAAAACGCAGGAGGCTCTAGTCGCACGTCCACATCGACTTTACATAGAAACTGGACGATTTGACGCTTTGGTGTGAACGAACCTTTAAACTGTGTTCAGTCTGTGGTCGCTGCAGCCGCTCGAATCAGGAGAAAGACAAACGTTTTTTTTCGTGTATTCAAAGTGTTGTGTTATAAGGGAGTTAGTTTCAAAAAATATACAGAAAAAAAAGCAGATAAAAGTGGATCGACAAACTCCAGATAAAAACAGGAGGTGAGGAAACGGTCAGGATTGTGTCATTTACTAATTCAGATTTTCAAAGGTTTTTTTTTGGACAGTTTAGAAAGACGAATCATCGTGAGTGACGGTAAACTGCTGCATTATAGATCCAGACTTGTCTCGCAGAAAGCTTCATGTGGTGCCCATTTTATGAACTTACTGTTGTAATTTGGTGTTTATACCTTTTCAACCAGATACAAAACAGTTTTCTCCTCCAGGTTTTTAAAGTCTTTCATTTCGTTCAGTGTTTATGACGTCTGCAGCACCACATCATTACCTCCACCAAGGAGGTTATGTTTTTGCCGGTGTTTGTTTGTTTGTTTGTTTGTTTGTCTGTCTGTCTATTTGTTTGTTTGTTTGTTTGTCTGTTAGCAACGTAACTCAAAAAGTTATGGACCGATTTTGATGAAATTTTCAGGATTTGTTGGAAATGTGAAAAGGAAGAACTGATTTCATTTTGGGGCTGATCCGGAAGAAATCCTGGATTCTGGATCACTTTGAAATTTTAGTTCACATTGTGGTAAATGGGGCCAAAGATTTTGTTTCTCAATATCTCGGTTAATTATTGACCAAACCCCATGAAATTTGACTCAGGGATGGACAATGGGATCCTCTTTCATATTCCAAATTGAAAGATACGAGACAAATATTTATGGAAAACACAATTAATATGAGGGGGACTGTCGTCCTTGGCGGAGTCTGCGCTCTCTGACTGCTTTTCTAGTTTATTATTTCCACTTCTCCACATCGTACGGGTCAGAACCGATATTTAGACCGATTTTTTATTTTTTTTGCGATACTGAGTCTCTGTCCGTTCAAAGCAAACAAAATTGGCCGGTGTGTTTGGTTCGTGCTCTGTGATTGGCCGGTCTGTTTCCATCGTGCTCTGTGATTGGCCGGTGCGTTTTGTTCGTGCTCTGTGATTGGCCGGTGTGTTTGGTTCGTGCTCTGTGATTGGCCGGTGTGTTTGGTTCGTGCTCTGTGATTGGCCGGTGTGTTTGGTTCGTGCTCTGTGATTGGCCGGTGTGTTTTCGTGCTCTGTGATTGGCCGGTGTTTCCTGTCGTGCTCTGTGATTGGCCGGTGTGTTTCCTGTCGTGCTCTGTGATTGGCGGTGTGTTTCCTGTCGTGCTCTGTGATTGCCGTCGTGCTCTGTGATTGGCCGGTGTGTTTGGTTCGTGCTCTGTGATTGGCCGGTGTGTTTGGTTCGTGCTCTGTGATTGGCCGGTGTGTTTCCTGTCGTGCTCTGTGATTGGCCGGTGTGTTTCCTGTCGTGCTCTGTGATTGGCCGGTGTGTTTCCGTCGTGCTCTGTGATTGGCCTGTGTGTTTCCGTCGTGCTCTGTGATTGGCCTGTGTGTTTCCTGTCGTGCTCTGTGATTGGCCTGTGTGTTTCCATCGTGCTCTGTGATTGGCCTGTGTGTTTCCTGTCGTGCTCTGTGATTGGCCGGTGTGTTTGGTTCGTGCTCTGTGATTGGCCGGTGTGTTTCCTGTCGTGCTCTGTGATTGGCCGGTGTGTTTCCTGTCGTGCTCTGTGATTGGCCGGTGTGTTTCCGTCGTGCTCTGTGATTGGCCGGCGTTTCATACGTACACAGACCTGTTGCTGCAGTTTGAGCAGCTGCTGTTGTTTCTCCTGGAGGACCTGCAGCTGTTGTTCTGCAGAGACCATGGCGTGGGACAGAGACTGAAGCGCCACCTGAGCCGCCGAGCTCAGAGCCGTGGAAGCTTCACCCACCGACGCCGAGGAGAGAGGCCCGACCGTGGGAGGAACGCCGAACGAACTCACTGCACAGAACACACACACGGGAGGGTTAGAAGCACGAACGCAGCGAGTTTAATTAAACACTGAAAACTCCTGAGAAGGTACGGCATGATTCTAGTCAAGTCCTGATGAAGATCAACACATTCTGCCTTTAACCGTTTAAATAAATATCTTTTATTTCTACTTTCTGGAGTGCCTGGATTTAATTTTTTCTAAATTTTGATCCATTTTCCATTTTCCAAGAGCGAGGAACACCTGGAGCAGCCACAGTTTTGTTCAACTAGTGAGAAGGTTTTGTGTAAAGTTTTCAATTATAAACTGGATTCAAAACAGTTTTAATTTAAATTAAAACACGGCACTGGAGTAAAGTATAAAACACGGAGCTGGAGTAAAATCTAAAACACGGAGCTGGAGTAAAAGTATAAAACACGGAGCTGGAGTAAAATCTAAAACACGGAGCCGGAGTAAAGTCTAAAAGAGTAAAATATAAAACACGGAGCTGGAGTAAAGTATAAAACACGGAGCCGGAGTAAAATATAAAACACGGAGCCGGAGTAAAGTATAAAACACAGAGCCGGAGTAAAGTTAAAAACAAGGAGCTGGAGTAAAGTCTAAAAGAGTAAAATATTAAAATTGGAGCTGGAGCGTTACCAGTGAACATGCTGGCGTCGTCTCTCTCCACTCGAGTCCCGTCGCTGGTGGAGATGCAGCTGAAGTGAAGAGGCTCCACCTCCAAAAGTCCAGTGAGAGACGTGAAACTGCCCTCAGCTGCTGCACAACTGCTCACTTTACCGTTCCCTACAGAAGAACATTCACGTGAGAACAGAGGAAGAGGAAGAGAAGAGGAGATATTTTGATATTTAGAGTTTTTACCTGAGAGTATTTCGGACAGGTCGATCTCATCAGACTGGACTCCGATGCTGCTGTTGTAGGCGTTTTTACAGGAAGATCCACTCACCTCCAGATCAAACAGAACTGGGTCAAAAGGAGAACTGTACAGACCGTACCTAGAACACAAGACACACAGAACAGGTCACTTTTACTCCTGTTTCACTCTTTCCTTCACAGGAACATTCAGAGCTTTCAGCAGCGCCCTCTGGTGGTCAGCCAGGATCCACAGCACAGTAGTCACAAACTTTACTTATTTCAAACTAGAACTGGGGTCAGAACTAAAGCAGAACTAAAACCAGGTGTAAACCAGGTCTAAACCAAGTCTAGACCAGAACTAAACCCAGAACTAAACCAGGAACTAAACTAGGTCTTAACCAGGTCTAAACCAGAACCTAAAACCAGGACTACATAGAACAAAACCAGAACTAAAACCAGGTCTAAACCAGTCTAAAACCAGGTCTAAACTAAACTAAAACCAAGACTAAACCAGAACTACACCAGAACTAAAACCAGGTCTAAACGAGGAGTAAAACAGGATTTAACCAGGACTAAAAAATGCAGCGTGCACTGAAAAAATAAAATATTGTCGGACATAAAACTGGTCCGTGGCACAAAAAGGTTGAGGACCACTGATCTAGAACATCTCTAGAACATCTCGCTCATCTGTAAATTCTGATCTGAATGTTTCTTTAGACGTTCTGTGATGGGACAGTCGTTTTTCACACACACAGCAGCAAAAAACTGGAACACACTTCAGCTGAATTTAAAACCTGCACTGACTCCCACACTTTGTCTCCTGGGATAAAACGTCTTTTGAGCAGAAGAACGTCAACATCAGGCTTCTTCAAGATTCAACATTCTGCCTGACTGTACTACGGGTTTATTGTGTCTCTGTTGATGAATTATTTATTTGTCTGTATACAGTTTATAGTTTGCTCAGATAAATGCACCTGGTCTGTAAGAGCGCCTCCAGTGGAGTGAGGCGGTCCTGCAGCTGCCGGGACACAGCGGTGAGTAACGAGGCACAGGCGGAGCTGCATCCGGCCAAATCCTCCTCCTTCACGTAGTTCAGCAGCACAAAGTACCAGAACACTGAACCTGAACCAAACAAACACGAGGAACATCTTTAACACTACAGTCTTTGACATAAAGTACAAATGTGATGTGTGTACTGTGTGTGTGTACTGTGTGTGTGTGTACTGTGTGTGTGTGTGTACTGTGTGTGTACTGCGTGTGTGTGTACTGCGTGTGTGTGTCGTGTGTGTACTGTGTGTGTGTGTACTGCGTGTGTGTGTGTGTACTGCGTGTGTGTACTGCGTGTGTGTACTGCGTGTGTGTACTGTGTGTGTACTGCGTGTGTGTACGTGTGTGTGTGTACTGCGTGTGTGTACTGCGTGTGTGTGTGTACTGCGTGTGTGTGTGTACTGCGTGTGTGTGTGTGTGTACTGCGTGTGTGTGTACTGCTGTGTGTGTGTGTGTACGTGTGTGTGTGTACTGCGTGTGTGTACTGCGTGTGTGTACGTGTGTGTGTGTACTGCGTGTGTGTGTACTGCGTGTGTGTGTACTGCGTGTGTGTGTGTGTGTGTACTGCGTGTGTGTGTGTGTGTGTACTGCGTGTGTGTGTACTGCGTGTGTGTACTGCGTGTGTGTACGTGTGTGTGTGTGTGTACTGTGTGTACTGTGCGTGTGTGTACTGACCCCCGGTGGCGGCTGCAGGTAGATAAGGCATATTCTCAATAAGAGCTTTGAGCAGACTCACTCCGAACCCCTGCTGAGCCGACTCCCCTTTACCGTTACTATGGAGACAAGAAAACTGTTTACAGTCGCAGGTTTCAGACGACGTCTCGTTGACGTCACTAAAAACAGATGAGGTCAGGAAGTAAAGACGGACGCACAGGACCCGTTTACCTCCGCTGACTCAGCACCAAAATGCATCATTTCTGAGCAGTTTATGGTCACTGCAACAGCTCGAATCGGGAAGAAGACAAACGTTTTTTTTTTTTACATGTACCGAAAGTGGTGCGTCACACTGGAGTTAGTTTTAAAAAATGTAAAGAAAAAAGTGGATCGACAATCTCCAGCTAAAAACAGGAGGTGCAGAAACATGAGATGCTCGAGTTTGCAGAGACTTTCAAACTGATCACGATTGTGTCATTTATTAATTAATATTTTCAAAAAACAATCACATTTAGAAAGACGAGCGTCATAAGTGACAGTATCTGTAACTGTTTCATTATAGGTCATAACGTGTCATGCAAAAAGCTTTATGTGCTGCTCATTTTATGATCTTACTGTTGTAATTTGGTGGTTTATACCTTTTTAATCATTATTGTAGGTTATCTTAGTGCAGCGGCTGATTTTAATTCTAAATAGTTGCCCACCTCCGGCTTTTAAAGTCTTTCATTTTGCTCAGTGTAATAAAAAGTCTGCAGATCATTATTATATTCAACGCCTCAACGCCGGGAAAATCCTCCAAACTGTATGAAAAGTCTGACTTCTCCAGATCGTACGGGTCAGAACCGACATTTAGACTCGAGATTGGGTCTGTGTCGGCCTCGTGCTGAGTTTTGAAGTGGAGCAAAACACTTCCTGCTCCATCTGAATTTCGTGCATCATCAGGGTCACGTTGTGAAACCCGGCAATACAATAGCATTTCTATTAAAGACAAGGTCCATTCTCCTGCTGTATTTATCCAACCACAACATCTGCACGTTCACTTTTTTTTTACATTTGACCGTCTCAGGTGTAAACACAAACACACAGGCGTTTCTGACCTGATACAAAGTGCGAGGAAGCGGGCACATTTGTGGGCGATGCTGCGTCCGGCCTCGAAGAAACAAACTCTGACGATGTCGTTTAACCTGAGGCGAGTTTTCAGGAGCAGAGCCTCTTTCCCCTCCTTCAGACTGAGGAGACACAAGAGGAACAGGTTTACACAGAGACGGAACTGTCTTTGAGATCATATCAGCACAGTAGGAATCTCTCACTTGAGCAGGTATCATTATTACAAAAAAAAAAAAAAAAGATCCCCGTACCTGCAGGGCCCGTTGGAGAAGACTCCCGCGAGCCAGCACAGTATGTCCAGGATGAGGCTCTGGGCGTGCTCGGTACAGGCCACGCCCTCCTGGGAGCGACACAGCGTCTCCAGAAGTCTCTCATGGAAATCAGGGAACTGCAGCATCGCACATCTCTGAAATATAAACATCTCTGTACTCTGAGATACACAAAAGAAATATAAACATCTCTGTATTCTGAGATACAAAAGAAACATGAACATCTCTGTATTCTGAGATCTAATTAACATCTCTGGTACCTCTCTTTGGTTATTGACGTCTTCTTGAAGCGTCTGATTGTGACGGACACCTCCTGCAGAAGATCACAGCCTCTGAGGTTCTCCACCTTCTTCGAGGGAGTCGCCACTTCAGACTTCACCCCCGTCACCTTCTCCTGAAACGTCACGGTTTATGTTCAAATGTGGTTTCCTCGTCACACACAGATCTGGAGCTGTGTTTTGTTTCATTCACAAGTTTAACACACAAACCTGCACATTTACGCTCATTCAAACAGAAAACCTGGCTTAGTCTTAGTCAATCAAAACTTGTATACGTGTATTTAGATTTATTTGAAAAGTTTCCATGAGCTGTTACCTTGGAGGCCTGCGCCCGCTGCAGGAGGGTGGACAGGGAGTGCCCTTTGGAGCTCTGGGGTTTGGAGCTGGGCATGCGGACCACAGGCCGCGGACTGTCCTCCAAACTCTTATCTGTGACGGCTTTAATATGAACCAGAAACGAGCGGTACTTTCCCCCCGCCATCCCTGAAACACACACACACACACACACACAAGGGTTCAACACCAACGCTCGTCCACAGCTTTTACTGCGCAGAGCTCGAATCAGATCAGAAGTGAAATCTGAGTAGAAGCGATGTTTTTCAATACTGAATGTGAACGACCCTGGAGGTTTTTCTATAAACTCGTGGGTCTGACTTGCCAGAGCTGTGTACCGCGTTACGTATGAACTCATAGAAATGTTTTTTTTTGTGTAATACTCACTTGGACCCAGGACTAACATCTGTACTCATGTGAGGTCTAAACGTGTGCGAGGTCTAAACGTGTGCGAGGTCTAAACGTGTGCGAGGTCTAAACGTGTGCGAGGTCTAAACGTGTGCGAGGTCTAAACGTGTGCGAGGTCTAAACGTGTGCGAGGCCTCGTACCTTTGACGAGTTTGGGGCTGGTGAGGCTGATCATGCCCGCGTGCCCGGACAGGTCCAGTCCACTCGCCAACCACACGGGTCCACACAGGATGTCCTCTCTGTGCTCCTCCAGGAACGGGCACAACATCGAGCCTGAGGGACGGAGACGGAGACAGAGAGACAGAGACAGAGAGACAGAGACAGACAGAGAGACAGACAGAGACACAGAGAGACAGAGAGACAGAGAGACAGAGACACAGAGAGAGAGAGACACAGACAGACAGACAGACAGACACAGAGACAGAGAGAGAGAGAGACAGAGCGACAAAGACAGAGACAGAGAGACAGAGAGAGAGAGAGACAGAGAGACAGACAGAGACACAGAGACAGAGAGAGAGACACAGAGAGACAGAGAGACAGAGACACAGAGAGAGAGAGACACAGACAGACAGACAGACACAGAGACAGAGAGAGAGAGACAAAGACAGAGACAGAGACAGAGAGAGAGAGACAGAGACAGACAGACACAGAGACAGAGAGAGAGACACAGAGACAGAGACACAGAGACAGAGAGACAAAGACAGAGACAGAGAGACAAAGACAGAGACAGAGAGAGACAGAGAGACAAAGACAGAGACAGAGAGACAGAGAGAGAGAGAGACAGAGAGACAAAGACAGAGACAGAGAGACAGAGAGAGAGAGACAGAGAGACAGAGACAGAGAGAGACAGAGAGACACAGAGACAGAGAGAGAGAGACAGAGAGACAGAGAGAGGGCATCAGAGGAGGTTCATCTAAAGCACAGGTGTCAAACATACGGCCCGGGGGCCAGATCCGGCCCTCCAAGACCTTTAATGTGGCCCTTGGGTGATTTTCTACTAAACTATTTTAATGATATTTTCTATTAAAATCTTGTTAATTTTGTGTGGTGTTTATCACAGCAGCGTCTCCAGCGTCTCTGTACGTGGCCCCTCCCACCAGAGCAGCACAAATGAAGACTTGTCTCTTTCCAAACGTCTTAAAGGACGATCGTTTTGACTGTTGACCGTGACACCCTCATCAGAAAAATGTCCAACATGAGAAAAGTGGAGCCGAGTGCAGGATTTTACAACAAAAATTGACTTATTCCTGTTTACAGACAAGTTCATGTTCAAACTTTGTGTTGAAATTGTATTTTTCTTAAAGTTTCAGGTTGTTCATAATATTATAATATTTTGTAAAAGAAAGAGTTCATCAATTCAAAAAGATTTCTGTAATAGATTTGTGTTTCTCTGCACAAATATTTGAACTTATTGTTATTTTTGGGGTTTATATGACATGAGTTTTCTGATCCGGACACTTTGGATCAAAGTAAGTTGGATACGGCCCCCGGAACAAAATGAGTTTGACACCACTGATCTAAACGTTTAACACGGTGAGGTCAGTCTGGCGCCCCCTAGTGCCTCCACTCATCTTAATTTGTCTCCAGCTCTAGGTCAGGAATCAGAAAACACTAGACGATTTGAAAAAACCCCGGAAGTTGTAGACAGCGCACCGACCAATCAGCTGTGAGCTGTGAGGTCATGACGTTGTGGTGGTGTCTGTCTTGTGTCCCTTTTGTGTTTCAGCACAAGAGTAAACAAAACATCGAGATGGATTTAGATGAAGACAGACGTTCCCCAGATCCCCGAGGATTTAAAGTCTGAACAAAGAGAATGTTTGGTGAATTTGATCTCAGGGAAAGACGTTATTGTTCTTCTTCCTACAGGATTTGGAGCATTACAAACATCACGACCAAACAGCAGCGACTGGTTCAATAAAAAAAAGTCCCCGTCTACTGTTGAGTGAACAAATCCTAATGCTGCAGGTCACACGGTTTACACCAAGTGAAACCAACTCACGAATCAGACTAATGAGCATCTGAGCTGGCAACCATTTTGTGTACTGTGGTCCAAAGCAAGAAAAATTATGTGACAAAGGCTTTTCTGCCAAAATGTTATTTAAAAATGTGATAAAAATCCTGCAATCGAACAGGCAGAATCTATGGCAAAGGAGAAATTCAAATGTATTTCTCCTTTGCCACGTTATTTCAAAATAAAAAAGCTTTTGGACATCGCCTATCTGAGTGTGCGATGCTTTATTTCACTTTTATTTTGCATATTGTGTAGGAGCAGTTCGGCCAAAACTAAAAATCAGACAGTGCTGGAGATTTAACATGAGTTTATCTCTACTCTGTGCAGCCTTGTGTCCTGTGGGAGCAGTGGAGTGCTCTTTATATTCTGTATTATTGTACATTCTGTATTATATTGAACAGTCTTGTACCGGTGGTGTCCTCGATGTCCATGAACTGAATGTCTTCGCTGAAGTGGTGGAGCAGGGGCCCGTTTCTCTCTCCGTTCGACTGGAGACTCGACAGAGGGAACGAGATCGGACGATCCACGGCCGTTTCTGAGACAAAAGAACCAAAGAGAAACATTTTATTTAAGAGTAAAGTCCAGCTCCAGCTGTGTGTGCGACGAGGAGCATAAGAACATGACTTAACTTTTTCCCCCATGAAGACGACATTTGACGACCCCCCTGAACCCTTAATGACGACTTTTGACTCCTCCGCCGTATCACTAAAGACGAGATTTGACGACCTTTAGAAATGGCTCGGTTTTTCACATTTAAACAGAGACTGTGATCGGTGGGGGCCACTACAACCCACACTAGACTGACCAATAGGATTCAAGGAGATGTTTTCGCCGATTTTTTCCGAAGTTAATCGAAGTAGTGACGATGGAGCTTCCGGAAAAAACACAACACGAAACACGTGCAATGGAAAGATGGCGGCGCTGCGGCGCACAGTTTTAGAAATAATGAGGAGCGGACGTATTTTATGGATAAGTTTAGAGAAAGTGACTTTTATAGATTTCAAAGTGATGATGTTGAAGTTGATTATAAAGTGGAAAACAGCGACAGCGACGGACTTTCGGGGAGAAGGTGAGATGCCGCTGATGCGTCTGTGTGGAGTCCTGCGATATCCAAACAAACTATCTGAGCTTTATACTCGATTATGAACCAAAATTGCCCTGAAATCTGGATGTTGCTCAGGTCAGTCCTTTAAAATATTTCAGTCTTTTTTTCCAAGATGCGATGTATAACAGAATCGCTACAGAAAAAACGTTTATGCGGAGCTCTGCACTCGAGAAAATAGCCAAGATGACAAATACTGGACACACACTGACGGGGAAGAGTTTTTATTATTATTATATTATAATAAGCTAAATTAGTTGAATAAGCTAAATGAGTTGAATAAATAAAATAAGTTGAATAAGCTAAATGAGTTGAATAAGTTAAATGGAAAAAAAATTAATTGGGTGCACACAGGTGAACAACAGGTAAAAACAGGTGCACACTTGGCTCTACTGTATCTGGTGATATAAAATCTGTTTAAATACTTTGACAAAGTATATATATATATATATTTTTTTATGAATATAGTACTCAGAACCTGCAGATATCAGATGCTGAATGTAGTTTTTTGTTTTCGAGTTTGCACCTGACCAGGTAAACTCTCATGTTCAGTGAGCTGTTATACACCTATAAATGAGTTGCATCACATTTAAACATCCAGAAATGAATAGTTCAGAGTCTAAAGTTTCCAGAGATACAAATATGTCTGTGTTACAATTAAGTTCATGAGTGTAAAAATCATTTATAATCACTCGTGGAAGTGTGTTTTCTTTTATGCAGTTATGCTCTATGGGTAGAACTAGTAACATATGTATGGGTTGTTCCTTGTCGGCGTCCAGGGGGAAAGAGTTAAAGCTCAGTGGGTTTAAAACATATCAAAAGGATAAATAAATATGGACAGAGGAGTCTCCGGTTTGAAGTGAAGGTGACAGGGTTTTGTTGCGTTGTGTTCTCACCGCTGACTTTGCCGAGCCCCGGAGCTTTGTTCTTGAGCAGAGTGACCTGAATCTGAGGAATGTTCACGATGTTTGAGTTCAGCACAAATTTAAAGTCCACGTGTCCCACCATACAGGCCTTAGGCAGAACCAGCTCCAGAACATGTTCATCCCAACTCGAACTGCACACGAGGAGACGGAGACGGAGGAGGGAGGAGGAGAGAGGAGGAGAGGAGAGAGGAGAGAGGAGAGAGGAGAGAGGGAGGAGAGAGGGAGGAGAGAGGGGGAGACGGGGAGGAAGAGAGGAAAAGCGAGGGGAGAGGAGAAGGGAAAGGTTAGAACATTTTAATACATATATAATATAAAATACTATAATATAAAACTCAGACAGAAACTCTTCACAGTAGAACTAGAACCAAACCAGGACTAAACTGGAGCCGAACGCAGTCTGAACTCTGTCCCTAAACTCTGTCCCTAAACCCTGTCCCCAAACCCTGTCCCCAAACCCTGTCCCCAAACCCTGTCCCCAAACCCTGTCCCCAAACCCTGTCCCTAAACTCTGTCCCTAAACTCTGTCCCTAAACCCTGTCCCCAAACCCTGTCCCCAAACCCTGTCCCCAAACCCTGTCCCCAAACCCTGTCCCCAAACCCTGTCCCTAAACTCTGTCCCAAACTCTGTCCCTAAACCCTGTCCCCAAACCCTGTCCCCAAACCCTGTCCCTAAACTCTGTCCCAAACTCTGTCCCTAAACCCTGTCCTAAACTCTGTCCCTAAACTCTGTCCCTAAACCCTGTCCTAAACTCTGTCCCTAAACTCTGTCCCTAAACTCTGTCCCTAAACTCTGTCCTAAACTCTGTCCTAAACTCTGTCCCTAAACTCTGTCCCTAAACCCTGTCCCTAAACCCTGTCCCTAAACCCTGTCCCTAAACCTGTCCCTAAACCCTGTCCCTAAACCCTGTCCCTAAACCCTGTCCCTAAACTCTGTCCCTAAACCCTGTCCCTAAACCCTGTCCCTAAACCCTGTCCCTAAACCCTGTCCCTAAACTCTGTCCTAAACTCTTCGTACCTGTCGCTCTGTAGTTTCCAGGTGCGCGTGTGTTTATACTCAGGTGTTTTTCGTACCTGTCGCTCTGTAGTTTCCAGGTGCGCGTGTGTTTATACTCAGGTGTTTTTCGTACCTGTCGCTCTGTAGTTTCCAGGTGCGCGTGTGTTTATACTCAGGTGTTTTTCGTACCTGTCGCTCTGTAGTTTCCAGGTGCGCGTGTGTTTATACTCAGGTGTTTTTCGTACCTGTCGCTCTGTAGTTTCCAGGTGCGCGTGTGTTTATACTCAGGTGTTTTTCGTACCTGTCGCTCTGTAGTTTCCAGGTGCGCGTGTGCTGGGCGGCGTCTCCGTGATGCTGTTGGTGCAGGTGTTGGGGGTGTCTCCTCTGCTGCTGCTCCTGTTGCACCTCCACCCAGCAGGGGGGCACCGTGGCCGAGAACCTGGGCGTGAGCGTCTCGAAGCGCGTCAGCTCCACCAGGGACATGAGGCAGTCTGCGGTCAGAGGCTGCTCCACCAGAAGGTCCACGCCTGACGGAGGAGAAGAAGAAGAAGAAGAAGAACAGAGTTAGGACAGTTTAGAACAACGTCCGCGTTTAAATCAAACCTAATTCTGAAAAATCAACTCCTCTGATCTTTCTCCGTGTTCTAGTTGGTCCGTGTACCATTGGTTTGTTATTTAATTTTTCCGTTTTAGTGTCAAACAAAAAATTGATTTGGATCTTCATTTTTAATATTTAATTTAAAGTTTATTTTAAATCACACCAATCAAAAAACAGTCTCGGTGCCTGTTTTAATTTTGATATTTTATTCTCTGTTTTATATGAAGTTCTGCTGCTCAGTGCCGCCTGTGAATTCAATGTCAACCATGGATCTATAATAAAAATTATGTTTATCATAGTTCTCTGAAGTCAACTTATCAAAAGGAGAGTTTATCGCTGCTTCCTGTTTTTCGTCATGGATCAACAGTGACTTTCTAAACGTGTCATTATAAAAGAAGAAACATGTTTGTCCACAAAACTGCGAGGATTTTTCAGGTTCGTCCTTCAGCAGAACTTCATATAAATCACAGAGAATAAAATATCAACATTAAAATGACTGTTTTGATTGGTCTTATCAGAAATAAACTTTAAATTAAATATTGGAAATAGAGGTCCAGATCTGTTTTTTTTTGGACACTAAAACGGAAAAATTTATTAAACTGTTTTCCCATTTTATTGTTTTTTTGTTCTTAATTGAAATTCAAAAGAACCAATGGTGCACAGACTCTAGTTGTTTCTTCTCTCTGACCCTCTGAAGTTTATTTGGAGTGATTCTTGTCTGAGGAATCTTTAGTCTCTTATTTTCAAGATTATTTGGTTCAGTCCCGGTTCAGTCCCGGTTCAGTCCCGGTTCAGTCCCCGTTCAGTCACCTATGATGCCGGGGCTGGAGGGGTTGGAGCAGGGCTTGGCTCCCTCCAGTAGAACCTCTGAGCCTTTGGTTAGGGGGCCGTCGATAAACATGTCTCCATCGTCCACATCGTCGCACACTCCTCCGATCTGAAGGAAGTGAAGCTCCCCACCTGCACAAACACACAAACACACAAACACAAACGCACAAACACACAAACACACAAACACACAAACGCACGAGTGAGTGTGGAAAAATAATCAACAGACACATGAAGCCAAAAGAACAAAACAAAAAAATTATTTACAAAAAAGTCCTAAAGTTCTGTATGGAATGGATTTAGTCACACAGTTCCAGAACACTTTTAAAACATCAAGCACAAAATTATAAATCAAAATACCAAATAAAATAAGAAAATTATAAGACTGTAATAAAAATTATTTGTGTAATTGTGTAAAATCTCCGTCTTTGCCTCTTTTTTATTTTTGTTCCTCGTCTTTCTCTGTTTTGTTTGGTGTCGTTTTCTTTGGTTCTGATTCTTCTTCTCATTGGACTTTTTGGTTCAGTTTTGGGCCAGGTGTGGCAGGTGTGGCAGGTGTGGCAGGTGTGGCAGGTGTGGCAGGTGGGACAGGTGTGACAGGTGTGACAGGTGGGGCAGGTGTGACAGGTGTGACAGGTGTGGACAGGTGTGGGGCAGGTGGGGCAGGTGGGGCAGGTGGGGCAGGTGTGGACAGGTGTGGCAGGTGTGACAGGTGGTGGACAGGTGGTGGCAGGTGGTGGCAGGTGTGACAGGTGGGGCAGGTGGGCAGGTGTGACAGGTGGGCAGGTGGGGCAGGTGTGGACAGGTGTGGCAGGTGGGGCAGGTGTGACAGGTGTGTGACAGGTGTGGCAGGTGTGCACAGGTGGACAGGTGTGGCAGGTGTGGCAGGTGTGGACAGGTGTGGCAGGTGGGCAGGTGTGGCAGGTGTGACAGGTGTGACAGGTGTGGCAGGTGGGGCAGGTGGCAGGTGTGGCAGGTGGGCAGGTGTGACAGGTGGAGCAGGTGTGACAGGTGTGACAGGTGTGGCAGGTGGGGCAGGTGGGGCAGGTGGAGCAGGTGGAGCAGGTGGGGCAGGTGGGGCAGGTGGAACAGGTGTGACAGGTGTGGCAGGTGTGACAGGTGTGACAGGTGCGCGTCTGACCTCTGGTGGCGGCGCAGAGGCGGTCGGTTCCGGAGCAGTAGGTGACGGACACAAACGGGTCGATCTCGTCGCTCGTTCCTCCTTCTCTCTTCGGCGGCTCCACTTTGGCCAGAACCTCGAGCGTCGACAAGTCCAGGATCATGATGAACCCGGCTCTGCTCGTCACCACCAAGTGTCCCAGACCCACCACCTACGGAACATCACGGCAGGAGAACATCACGACAGGAGAACGTCACGACAGGAGAACAGAACGTCAGGAGAACAGAACGACAGGAGAACAGAACGACAGGAGAACAGAACGACAGGAGAGAACACGACAGGAGAACATCACGACAGGAAACATCACGACACGAGAACATCACGACAGGAGAACATCAGGTCAGGAGAACAGAACGTCAGGAGAACATCACGACAGGAGAAAGTCACGACAGGAGAACGTCACGACAGGAGAACGTCACGACAGGAGAACATCACGTCAGGAGAACAGAACGACAGGAGAACATCACGGCAGGAGAACATCACGTCAGGAGAACATCACGTCAGGAGAACATCACGACAGGAGAACATCACGACAGGAGAACATCAGGTCAGGAGAACAGAACGTCAGGAGAACATCACGACAGGAGAAAGTCACGACAGGAGAACGTCACGACAGGAGAACGTCACGACAGGAGAACAGAACGACAGGAGAACAGAACGACAGGAGAACATCACGACAGGAGAACATCACGACAGGAGAACATCACGACAGGAGAACATCACGACAGGAGAACATCACGACAGGAGAACAGAACGACAGGAGAACATCACGACAGGAGAACATCACGACAGGAGAACATCACGACAGGAGAACATCAGAACGTCAGGAGAACAGAACGTCAGGAGAACAGAACGTCAGGAGCCTGGGATCCACTCGAGATAAACACTAACTGGAGGCACTGCTCTGTCTGAGTCTCTGTCAGACTTGAATCTGATCTTGTAAGAAGTGATTTATCTGAAGAACGGCTGATCTGATCTGTGCTGTTAAACAATGAGTCACTTTCACCTTTTAGTGTAAAATCAAACTCCTGAACAGAACCGTGATCTGTTATTTGACAGATTTGGTTAAAGTGCCACTGACAGGTTGGATCACACTTTGTGTTAAATGCAGCTACAGTAATTATATTTAAGATTTTGCTTTAAAAACAAAACAAAAAACAAACATTTTTTTTCCAGTTTGGCCATGTTTTTAGGTTTACATTTTTACTTCCTGGTGGGAAATCATGACATGACCTGGAGAACCTAACCCTAACCCCATGTTACCACAGCTGCGCCCAAACTAACAGATTATTATGTGACAAACACAAATATAAGAAAACTAACATTTTGTTGAAATCATGTTAAAAGTTTCAGAAAAATGTGTTTGTGTAAATTGTGTCAAACTTTTGGGACAGAATTCTCCGAGTGTGACGTCATCAGTAGTGGTGTGCAAAAATATCGATATATCGTATCGTTTAATGTGCTGACACAGTATCGATATCGTGGGCTGCAGTATCGATATATCACCAAGAGGATGACTCATTTACATAAACTAAGAGCTAAAAAACTGTTGTTTCTTGTGTCTGATGTGGTTCAGTTTGTGTTGGACTAAAGACACAGAGACTCAGTGGAATATGAGTGTTCTCCCTGTGTCAGAGGGGTGTTCTCTCTGTGTCAGAGGGGTGTTCTCTCTGTGACAGAGGGGTGTTCTCTCTGCGACAGAGGGGTGTTCTCTCTGTGACAGAGGGGTGTTCTCTCTGTGACAGAGGGGTGTTCTCTCTGTGTCAGAGGGGTGTTCTCTGTGTGTCAGAGGGGTGTTCTCTCTGCGACAGAGGGGTGTTCTCTCTCTGTGTGACAGAGGGGTGTTCTCTCTGTGTGACAGAGGGGTGTTCTCTCTCTGTGTGACAGAGGGGTGTTCTCTCTGTGTGACAGAGGGGTGTTCTCTCTGTGACAGAGGGGTGTTCTCTCTGTGACAGAGGGGTGTTCTCTCTGTGTGACAGAGGGGTGTTCTCTCTGTGACAGAGGGGTGTTCTCTCTGTGTCAGAGGGGTGTTCTCTCTGTGACAGAGGGGTGTTCTCTCTGTGACAGAGGAGTGTTCTCTCTGTGTCAGAGGGGTGTTCTCTCTGCGACAGAGGGGTGTTCTCTCTGCGACAGAGGGGTGTTCTCCCTGTGACAGAGGGGTGTTCTCTCTGTGTCAGAGGGGTGTTCTCTCTGTGTCAGAGGGGTGTTCTCTCTGTGTCAGAGGGGTGTTCTCTCTGTGTCAGAGGGGTGTTCTCCCTGTGACAGAGGGGTGTTCTCTCTGTGACAGAGGGGTGTTCTCTCTGTGTCAGAGGGGTGTTCTCTCTGTGTGACAGAGGGGTGTTCTCTCTGTGACAGAGGGGTGTTCTCTCTGTGTGACAGAGGGGTGTTCTCTCTGTGTGACAGAGGGGTGTTCTCTCTGTGACAGAGGGGTGTTCTCTCTGTGACAGAGGGGTGTTCTCTCTGCGACAGAGGGGTGTTCTCTCTGTGTGACAGAGGGGTGTTCTCTCTGTGACAGAGGGGTGTTCTCTCTGTGTCAGAGGGGTGTTCTCTCTGTGTCAGAGGGGTGTTCTCTCTCTGCGACAGAGGGGTGTTCTCTCTGTGACAGAGGGGTGTTCTCTCTGCGACAGAGGGGTGTTCTCTCTGTGTCAGAGGGGTGTTTCTCGCTGTGACAGAGGGGTGTTCTCTCTGCGACAGAGGGGTGTTCTCTCTGTGTCAGAGGGGTGTTCTCTCTGTGTCAGAGGGGTGTTCTCTCTGTGACAGAGGGGTGTTCTCTCTGCGACAGAGGGGTGTTCTCTCTGCGACAGAGGGGTGTTCTCTCTGTGACAGAGGGGTGTTCTCTCTGTGACAGAGGGGTTTCTCTCTGTGACAGAGGGGTGTTTCTCTCTGACAGGGGTGTTCTCTCTGCGACAGAGGGGTGTTCTCTCTGCGACAGAGGGGTGTTCTCTCTGTGTCAGAGGGGTGTTCTGCTGATGGTGAGTCTGTTCTGTGTGAGTGTTTGTATCTCGTCTGTTTCCGTTTGTCTCTGGTTTGTTTAAACTGTTTTCTGCGTCACATGACGACGTCACAAACCCAGAGAAACAGAAGGAACGAGTCACAGTGACACAGTGTCCAACAAGGACGAGACTCCAGCTCAGAGGATCAGAGTTTTCAGGAGTCACACAGTCCCCATCACATCTATACTCACATACACACTAGTGTGAACAGGGCCTGAGTGTCTGGTTTTTCTGAGCACATGAAAATACCAGATCCAGAACACTTTTATAACCAGGATAAGACTTGTAATTTATCATATGTATTTACAGCAGGTTTTGTCCCACCAGATCAGGCCAAAATGAGAAAATCAAAAATTCTTTAAAGTGAAATAAAATAAATTTACTGTAAGTCTGACTTGAGTAACGGAGCTCCAGACAGAGCAGTGCCTCTATCACTTCACATTATCACATCCCCAGTGAACGTTGATCATCAGCTGCAAAACATCAACTGTGAAAGGTTTTCAAATTCAACATTAACTATTTATGTTTCTAAAAAGTATCAGGCCTGAAGTCGACTGAATGAACTCCTGTTGGACTAAAGACACGAGCTGCAGATCGATGCGAAGGGCGTGGGTAAAACACTCCAAACTCCTCTGTGTCTGACTCAAAGTGCACTCACAACTCTACACCTGCAGGGGGCGCTCATCTAAAACTACTGTTTAAGCAGAAAAAGGACGAGGAAACAGTGGATTTGTATAAAGACAGATTAAACGTGTGAATTTAATCTGACTTTTTACAGAGAAATACCAAAATATACCAAACCTTCCGCTCACTCCCTAAAGTCTCACTCCTGCTGCTGTCATCTAAAGATAATTATTAGTCAATTAAAACATTTTGATCGACTAAAGGCCGTCACACACTACAGGATTTTTCGATCTTAAACGATTTTTAAACGTGCAACAAAAAGCAAAAACCACAAACACGAGGAGAATGTGACGTAAACAGACACACGTGACGAACCAAACTCACATTTTTACTTTTAAACTACGCAAAAAAAATTTAGTCACAGCCCAGACGTTTTGTGGACTGGGATCTTTATTTACGGAGGATATTTTTTTGGATAATGTGGATGAAAATAATGCAGTTGAACTTGGTGAGGAATAATTATTTTCGTTGTACTGAGTTTGTATCTTGTGCTTCTGCGTCTGTCACTCTGTTTGACCCTGACGCTGGTTTATTGTCTTTTTACTGTAGACCAGAGGTGGGACCAATTCGATGTTTTGCAGGTCTCAAGTCTTTGACCTCAAGTCCGAGTCAAGTCCCAAGTCAAAGACAGACAAGTCCAAGTCGAGTCCTGAGTCACTGGCCCATAAGTTAGTACCGTAAGTCTTTATTTCTATGGAGCTTTTCACAGATATATGTCACAAAGACTCTTCACAGAACATTACTCAGCATTATTCATTCACTCCAGACCCTCAAACATAAGTCCAAGTCAAGTCCGAGTCATCTGCGTTGAGCTTCAAGTCATTTCAAGTCTTTAAACCAAAAAAGTACCAAATATATCTTAGACTTGTGCAATTTATATGATTTATAAGTTAAATTGTACGTAAAAAGGCATGATATATTTATATATAAGTATTTGTTGTAGAAATTGTCGTTGTAGAAATGCAATTTTTTCCTTTTTTAAATGTCTTGAGTGCAAATTATTATGTCAGAATAGAAAGAATTAAGATTTAAGAGAGCTTAATAACAGTTAAATGGAAGGATCATGTTCTGTGTAGTTCCCTGTTTTACTGTGTTGTACTGTGTTGTCCTGTGGATTATTGTAGTACTTTTGAGTATCACAGTACTTCAGTTCCATTCAAAGTACAAACAGAAGTGTGAACGACATGTTCCAGTTTGTTTCTGTAAAATTCAGCACCACATTTATCAACTGTAAAGAGAAAAGTATTTTATAAAAAAAGGAGGAGCATCAAGTCTTCTGAAGTCACAGGCCTCAAGTCCGAGTCAAGTCCCAAGTCTTTGTCTATTTTAGCAAATCTTAAGTCCTAAAAATAGTGATTCAAGTCTGACTCGAGTTAAAGTCCCGACTCGCAGGTCCCACCTCTGCCCTAGACGATCTGAAAGAGCAGCAAAGAGCAGCAAAGAGCAGCAAAGAGCAGCAAAGAGCAGCAAAGAGCAGCAAAGAGCAGCTCGTCATCGCATCGACACAAACACGAGGAGCAGCGGCTTCACAATCACAACGAAGACACAAAGTTGAGTAACGCCTCCTCGAACTCACAGAGAAACAAACCACAGCCAAAATCAGGCAAGTTCTCCTGGAGTAGGGACGGGCATTCGATGAAATTTCATTAATCGATCGTCGGGAGGATTAAAAATTAATTTTCGATTAATCATTAACATTTTTATATTAAAACTATCATAATTATTACTACTTTTACTAATCTTCATAAATAAATTCAACTTTACATCATATAAACAGAACGACTCTAGAGCCACATCGGCCTGTTTGACACCATCATGTGTTTAATTCAGTTTTGTTTAAGTCTCACACAAACTAAACTTAAAACTGCATGACTCATTTGCATAAACTAAGTGAGGAAAATAATTCAAACGGCTCTTTCCTTGTGTCGCTGATGCAGTTCAGCTTCTGTCGGACTAAAGGACACGACTCAGTGGAATATGAGGGTTAGTGTGATGATGATGATGGTGTGTGTGTGTGTGTGTGTGTGTGTGTGTGTGTGTGTGTGTGTGTGTGTGTGTGTGTGTGTGTGTTCTGTGTGTGTGTGTGTGTGTGTGTGTGTGTGTGTGTGTGTGTGTGTGTGTGTGTGTGTGTGTGTGTGTGTGTGTGTGTTCTGTGTGTGTGTGTGTGTGTGTGTGTGTGTGTGTGTGTGTGTGTGTGTGTGTGTGTGTGTTCTGTGTGTGTGTGTGTGTGTGTGTGTGTGTGTGTGTGTGTGTGTGTGTGTGTGTGTGTGTGTGTGTGTGTGTGTGTGTGTGTGTGTGTGTGTGTGTGTGTGTGTGTGTGTGTGTTGTGTGTGTGTGTGTGTGTGTTGTGTGTTGTGTGTGTGTAGGTTTAGAGCAGATCTTTATGTTGCAGTAGCTGTGATTCTGCGTCTACAGGCACCATGACCAAACTGAGATACTGAGAAAACCCGATCATCCCCAGACACTGATGTGACCGAAACGTGGGACTGAGACACGACTCCAGTGTTTGTGTGAGACGCAGCTTCGTATCTACGCACAGAAACCTACATTCGGTTTGTCGATTAAAAATAAATGTAGTCAATGAAATTCTTAATGACCAATTATTGATTAGTCGACTAATCCTGCCCATCCCTCTCCTGTGGTGTGACGGCCTTAAGACTCCCTGACGATTATCAGCTCTACAGTATATCGTGTAAACATCGTATAACCACCTCTGCCCTCCTCGCCGCGGGCCCCAGCGGCGTCTGTGGCGAGCTCTTGCCGCTCTTTGGCGCTCCGTTTTTGGGCGTCTCGTCCTGACTCTCCTCGCTGTCCTCCTCCCGACTGTCCAACACGTCGGGCGGTAACAGAATTAAAGAGGTGATGGCGTCGAGCGGGTCGCTGATCTGCTGCAGCTTCACGGGCTCCTCGTCTAAAGTGACGATGCGCGTGGAGTAGTTCAGTTTGTACAGCGCCAAATACCCGCCGCCCTGGGAGAGCGGCCTCTGCGGGTGCTCCTCCTGGTCGCTCGGGGGTAATATTAACTGCGTTTGACTTCCTGTTTTGGGAAGGCTCTCCACGCCGTTGTGCAAACTGTCCGCCTTGCTCAGAGCCGAGTGCAGTCTGTTCAGATTATTCAAAGCTTCTACTTGATTGGTGGCGCTGAGCGACTCGGCGCCGCAGTTGGGCTGCAGTCCGATGAGCAGGTGCACGCCGTCGTAACACGGCGTTATGGAATCCACGTACAGATTTTCGTTTTCTAGCGCTTTGGGTAAACGTAAGCATTGCACTAAAGACCCGGGTTTGGGGAAGGGGGTGGAGGCGTTAGCCGCGGACGCTAACGTGCTCCATTTGTCCACGTGTCCGTCTAAAGCGGTTAAGTTCCCCGCCGCGTCTGCGAACTGCTGGATGTAGGTGATGGGAGGGTCCTGCAGGAGGAGCTGTTCGTGAGAATCGAACTCCATCTCAATTATCTGCGGCACGGTGAAGCCCTCCTCGTGATTACTCATTAAATTATTCATTTGCGTAAAAACTTGTCCCGTGCTTTTGTCGTCCACTTCGCGGATACTGTACAGGAGCAGGACGGGGACGGAGCGCCGGGCGTTGGGTCCGGAGGGGGCGGGGCTCGCGGGCTGGGAGTCGTGCGAGGAGGCGGTCTGGGCGTTCTCGATGTCCATGGCGCCGTGGTCGTGAAGGGCGTCGGCGCGGCGCGGGGAGGCGGCGCCGGCGGCGGGCGCGGCGTTGGGGGCGGAGCGGTAACTCAGCAGACCTCCGGCCAACAGGCAGGGGAAGGGAATGTTGTGGTGCTCCGGGGGGCGGTCCTTGGGTTTGGCCTGGCCCGGGGGTTTCGGGGGCTGGGACAGAGACGGGGGATTGGCCCCGAGCTCCTCCAGGTCCTTCACCGTGTCCTCCAGGACACTCGCCACCACCTCCCACTGAAGCTTCTCCGGCTGCTGGAGGACGGACAGAGACGACACCGACAGGTGCACGTCCATACTGTCCCACTGAGACTGAGGACCTGCACACACACACAGAGGGACAACACACACACACACACACACAGACACACACAGACACACACAGACACACACACACACACACACAGACACACAGGGACACAACAGGTTTAGGTTAGAGCTGGAGTATGAGATGAGGAAAAGTACAAATATCTGAGCTACTAGAAATACTCGAGTACTGTATTTTTAGGACTATAAGTTGCTCCAGAGTATAAGTCACAGGTTCACTCAAATCATGAAAAAGAGTGCGACTTATTGTCCGAAAAATACAGTAAAAAGAATCACATGAAAAAATCTAAAAGTTAAAATTTGCCACGTTTCAATGAGAGATTTAATTCTGAAAAAAAAAAATTAATTCCACTTTAAAAAGACCATGTAAACACTTAAGTTTAATTCTGAATAATCATTTTCATCAGGAATTAATTCCAAAGTAAGCGGGTGGTTCATTCAGATTTTAAAGCCGAATGAATTTATTCCTCAATCATGTAAACTCTTGTTTATTCTTCTTAAAAATACATAATTTAACGAGTTTAATATGTAAATCTCAACTCAGAATTATTATTTTCATGTAAACTCAAGGAGAATATTTTAATTCCAAGCTATTTAATTCAGAACAATTAATTCAGAATAAAAAATCATCACGTAAATGTGACCAGTGTTAAAGTACCTCTTTAAAAATGTAAAAAAGTAAAAGATTTTGCTTCAGACTTTGTGATTTTCATACAGACTTTGTTCAGTAGAAACAACTGAATCCATATTTTTTTTCCATCTGTTTTTATTTATTTTTAACACATTCATAATTTGAGCAAAAATAAATAAACGGTTAGCCTTTTCAGCAGGTCTCAAACTGGAATAAAAACACTTTTACTTTTGAGTCCTGTTCAAAACTTTAGTGGAGTAGAAAGTACAGCCTCCTGCTCTCACATGAAGTAAAAGTAAAAAGTCTCCTCTTCCAAATTTACTTCAAGTACAGACAGAGGTGGCACCAAGTCGTTGTTTTCCAAGTCTCAAGTCTTTGACCTCAAGTCCGAGTCAAGTCCCAAGTCAAATACAGACAAGTCCAAGTCAAGTCTCGAGTCACTGGTCCATAAGTCAAGTCCAAGTTGTCTGCTTTGAGCTTCAAGTCATTTCAAGTCTTTAAACGAAAGTACCAGCAGATTTTTGCCATTTATATGAATTTTAAAGCTAAATTATGTTTAAAAACTCATAATATATTTACATATGAGTGTTTATATAAGAGTTGTAGAAATGTAATTTTTTCCAACGTCTTCTTTTTGACAAGATCTTAGTGTGAATCATTATGATCAGAACAGAAAGAATTCAGATTTAAAAGTGCTTCAGAGGTTTTCTCAAGTCACTGACCTCAAGTCTGAGTCAAGTCCCAAGTCTTAGTCCATTTCATCAAGTCAAGTCTCAAATCCTAAAAATCGTGACTCCAATCTGACTCGAGTCCAAGTCACGACTCGCAGGTCCCACCTCTGAGTACAGATTCCTCAAATGTAAAAGTACGTCCAGTCCTTCAGTACTTTTACTGCGTTTCCTTCCACTGTGACTTTGATCATTACATAATCGTGGTTTTCTGGACTAACTGGATGAACTGGACTTTGTGAACTTTTGATTTCTCAAATACAGAACCTTTATTTGAGTCAAACGGCACAAAACAAAAACACAGCACATCACTGACCTGAAGTGGGTCACTGCAAAGTCCTGTTCACATAAATAAAACAGATGAGTTACGTTCTATTACCTGTTACAGACTCTGATCTGGAATGATCTTCACTGTCTGAGTCGTCCAGCTGATCGTCACTGTCAACACATCAAACACACCAGTGTGAGGGTTTAATTATGTAAAGACAAAGGTCTGTGAGGCACCTGCTCCCTCCTGCAGCAGCAGCGGGTGGAGAACACGCACCATAAATACTACACGGACTCATCGTTCAGTACGGACTAGTGACGGGCATTCGATGAAATGTTCTTAATCGATCGTCGGAAGAATTAACGATCGATTAGCGATTAATCATGAACGTTTTTATATTAAAATGATCATCATTATTATGACTATCTGCACTAATCTGCATCAATAAATTCAACTTTACGACATATAAACATAACGACTCTAGATCCACATCAGCTGTTTGACATTATAATGTGTTTAATTCAGTTTTGTTCAAATCTCACAGAAACAAAACTTAAAACCACATCACTAATTTACATAAACTAAGTGAAGATAAAACTCCAGCTCTTGTGTCGCTGATGTGGTTCAACTTGTGTTGGATTAAAAGACATGACTCAGGTGAATACAGGTCAGTGTGACCAGATTTGTGTTTGTCAAAACCAGGACAGCGTACGGGGGGAGGGGGGCGGGGCCTCGTCATCCACATTGAGCGACTCTCACCTGGAAAAACTTTTTCCCACTGGACACAGAAACATATGTGCTGCTTTATCCACTGTGCACATGGACTCACACTTGTCCCAACGCAACGGAAAGTGTGGAATTTCTTCTACAAATCCTGGTTAAATCCACATTTGTGCTTCGGTTCGTTACAGACTGACCCACTGTTTGTGTCTCGCTCCTTCTGATGCAGAGACACATGTACACACCTGTTTGGTCACGACACACACACATACATTCAGTTTGTCCATTAAAATCAACGGAATCCATGAAATTCTTAGTGATTCAATTATCGATTAATCGATTAATCATGACCATCCCTAGTAAAGACAGATGCAACACTTGCTTGACATGAACAATTTATCCACAACGATCAATAGAAGAAAGAACAAAACTTAAAGGAAACATCGAGTCACATTAGTCACACAACAAACTCAACTCACGTTATGATCATGAAGAAAAACAGTAGAATGAGTCTGAGTGAACAAATTCTTTCTATTACAAATAAAAATGGATTTCATGATGTGGAGATTTGCACAGACACAGATTTGGGACGTTTAAATGTTCCACGTCTCCAGGATCAGAACATGAGTTGAGTTTGTTGTGACTCATGTGTCTCATTGTTTCCTTTAACTTTTCTTCTTTCTTCTCTTGATTGTTGTGGATAAATTCTTCTTGTTGGTTGAAGATTTGGTGATGGAGCAAATTTATGAAACTGCTGGAGAAAACGATACACATTTACACACACACTTACATATTTACACAGAAAAACATTAACCGGAAGTTCTGCAAAACCTACAGCGGAACACTTCAGGTCGTTCTGTAAAAGGTTCATTTATGAACTTCTATGACTTATTATAAACACAAACTGACTCCTTAAATCAGACCTGGGCCTTGTGCAGCTCCAGGCCACGTCCGGCTCTTTGGTCGACTCCGCTCGGCTCGTTTAAGATCATTTGGAATCACAAAATAAACATATTATAATTTGAACTTATGCCTGGTCTAAAACTGCTTCGCTTTTGTTTTAGACGTGTTTTTTTTTTAAATAACATTTTTTGTTGGGCAGTGTCACTTTTTTATTGCTGAGTCAAACTAACTCTTCCCAGTCTGAGCAGCTCGACAGAACAATGACATTTACTGCTTTTTATGAAGAAATACAATTTATATTCTGCAGAACTGAATTAAACATCAAGGCCTCTACAGTATTTTCTGTTTCTCATGTGGCCAGATGGAAGAAGATTTGCCCCCCCTGACTTCATGTTGGATTCTGTTATTTATTTATTGCAGCTCATTCCTTTTAACAAGATTGTACATCTGAACACTTTGGACCTGCACCTGTCCACATGCTCCTGTCGACCTGCCACTCTATTCAGGTGTGCTCTGGTGTGTTCAGGAGTGATCAGGTGTGTTCAGGAGTGTTCAGGAGTGCTCAGGTGCGTTCAGGTGTGTGAGGAGTTACCTGTCCCCCTCGAGCTTGGGCAGGTCAGAACAGGACTCTTCTAACCAGGCCAGGGTGGGTCTCCTGGACTCACTGAGGCCCTGGCTCTGCTCCCCGCTGCAGACCAGCAGCTGGCGCAAGATCACCGGGTCGTACGGGTTCAGGTCGAACTTAAGGTGCACCTGAACAAAGAAGAAGAAAAGAGTAAAAGCATTTGATTTAGGAAGAATAACAGACCTGGTCTACAGTCTCTGGTCTAGTCCCTGGTCTCGAGTCCCCCCCGGTCTACTCCCTGGCCTAGTCCCCCGTCCAGAGTCCCCCAGTCCAGAGTCCCCGGTCCAGAGTCCCCGGTCCAGAGTGCCCAATGTAGTCCCTGGTCTACAGTTCTTGGTCTAGAGTCCGAAGTCTAGTTCCTGGTCTAGTCCTTGATCTAGAGTCCCTAGTTTAGTCCCCGGTCCAGTCCCTAGTTTAGTCCCCGGTCCAGTCCCTAGTCCAGTCCCTAGTTTAGTCCCCGGTCCAGTCCCTAGTTTAGTCCCCGGTCCAGTCCCAGTCAGTCCCTAGTAGTCCCCGGTCCAGTCCCCGTCCAGTCCCCGGTCCAGTCCCCGGTCCAGTCCCCAGTCCAGTCCCGTCCAGTCCTAGTTTAGTCCCGGTCCAGTCCCTAGTCCAGTCCCTAGTTTAGTCCCCGTCCAGTCCCTAGTTTAGTCCCCGGTCCAGTCCCTAGTCCAGTCCCTAGTTTAGTCCCCGGTCCAGTCCCTAGTTAGTCCCGGTCCAGTCCTAGTCCAGTCCCCGTCAGTCCCTAGTCCAGTCCCCGGTCCAGTCCCTAGTCCAGTCCCCGGTCCAGTCCCTAGTCCAGTCCCCGGTCCAGTCCCTAGTCCAGTCCCCGGTCCAGTCCCCGGTCCAGTCCCGGTCCAGTCCCGGTCCAGTCCCTAGTCCCTAGTCCAGTCCCCAGTCCAGTCCCCGGTCCAGTCCCTAGTCCAGTCCCCGGTCCAGTCCCTAGTTTAGTCCCCGGTCCAGTCCCCAGTCCAGTCCGTACTTAAATCCAGTTTTGTTCGTGTTTTTTTGCACAAACCTTCATCATTTTGGAGACGTCCCAGATGCAGACTTTGCCCCTCCTGGTGGCGGCGGCGAGGAACTGCGGGCAGGACCCGAAGCCGTAGCAGGCGATGGGGTCGGAGAGGTCGGGGCTGTTGGGCAGCTGGGCGGGGCTTGTGGCGAGGGTCACGGAGAGCGGGACGTTCTGCGTGTGCTCCCCTTTCACGAACGGACAGTTTGGGGAGTGACGCTCGTGCTCAGACCTGGACGAGGAAACGGACCAAGAATCAAACGTGTTTTAACTTTTAACAGTTTTAAAAGTGAAGTGAAGGTGAGATTCTGACCAGGGCTCGTCTGTGGGCTCCCAGCAAACCAGACACACGCTGCAGGTGAAGCACATGGCCCTGTCGTCACCTGTCGACGCCGGCTGGAACAGGAAACAGGAAACACAGTCAATCAAACTTCTCCAAGTCCTTTTTAGATCAACTCCTTTCACTTTGTTTAGTCTCTGATAACGCGGCAATTTAAAACTCTCCTCCGTGGACCAAATAGGACAGGTGCGAACAACACGCTCCACACAGATTACAGATCACGGATCAATAACAAAGTTTACACACGGGTCATTAAACTGTTGGATTCTGAGATCAAGTTATTCTAATAATTCTCATCCAAATCTTATGGCTAAAGACAAAAACTTATGTCTAACTTTAACAAAACAAAACGGTGATATTTCTGGGATAAATCTAAAATCGTCTAAATGACCTTCAAGTTTAAAACAACTGATGAGATGTGCATTATTAAATATTATTATCATTGTTACAGCGCCACATACTGGTGTGGTTTATGTTTTACATTGTTTTCACTCAGTGCTCTGTTGTCGTCTGGATGTGAAGATTTATTGATCAGACACCCCCAAAAAAAAAAAATCCAGGAGTGTTATGTGGACGCAGCCCGAATTAAGACAAATACAAATTCTGAAGCCACGTTGGGAGCGACATCAGACGCTTTACGTCTTAGAAATGTTGTCAAAATCTCGTCTTGTCTCGTTCTCTTGGACCCAAACTTGTGTCGTCTTGTGGAAATTGTCTGTTAGTTTTATTAAGTTGTGTGTTTAAATTCTTGTACCTGGTGGTAGAACCCGGCCTGGGCCATGGGGTCGGGCTGTGCCCATCTGTACCCAGCGTGAGGCCACGACGTGAACGTCTCTCTGCGGTTCGCCTCGCTGTACATCAACGACCTGAAAACACACACACACACAAACACGCACAGACACACACACACACACAAATACAAACTCAGGTTTTACTGAATAAAAAGATAACTTAGCAATAAAAAGCACTGCTCCCGAGAGCATCTGTTACCGTAGCAACAGGGTGGTAAACAGTCACACAGCGCAGAAACGACTTGAAATAAAGAAAACAAAGATATTTCTAAGTGGAAGCAGCGTGGCCAGAATGAGCTGCTTCTGACTTCATGGGTCTGGAGGGGAGGCCTCAGGCGGCAGATGATATACTCACTCTCATATTTGGGCGACTTTCAACAAGTTTGGGCGTTTTTTGTTTTCACACTAATCAACGAAATAACACAATAACACGAGGAAACGTCTGGGACTTTTACTCTGTCCAGTGTTAAGGAGGAGTTCCGTCTGCACAAATCAACAGACGTCCTCCACGTTCAGACGCGTTCAACTGTTACAGATTCAGTTCTTCTGAGTCTCAGGTTCTGTGTTTTCTGTTTTTGTCGAGGTTTTAGTCGAACACTGATGATTTAAATTTTTATGTTTGATAAAAACACTGTTCTACATTTGACTAACAAACAGAACATGTTTCCTCAATCCTGACATTGTTTTTAAAAAGTCCGTAGATGTTACACATTTCATTATTCAAATATTCGGCTAAATTCTTTTTTTTTTCTGTGATAAATGAAAATACTGTTTTATATTTTACATGTTTTCTCAACACTGGAAAAGTTTTTAAAAAGCCCAACAGTGGATTACAGCCGTTTATTCAAATATTGTTGGGTGGTTTTTTTGCTGAAGAGTTTGTGTTTTCAAACACTGAACCCAGTCTGACAGAGCTGTCTGGAAGCCAGTGTCAGTGTTCAGGTTCAAACTTCAGCTGAGCACAAATTGAAGTTGTGCATCTGAGCAAGACACTTCCCCCAATGAAAGTGCATCTGTGTTAAAAAGTTCTAACAACCTGAGCCCAAAGATAAAGGAAACTCATGTTATACCCACACTGCGCAAAAGTCAGACGGTCGCTCGTTTGTGTCGACATTTGCGCGCGTTTGTCATGAGAAAACTCGTCTTATTTTAAAGTAAGTTTTGCGTTTAACTGTTTTGACCTGACTTCATCATCTTCCTCCAAGTCACTGAATGTTGAGGATCAAAAACGTGACTTTGAAAAGTTCAAACTCGCTCATAACTGTTGAAGATGTTGATGTTGACCTGTTGATACGGACACTTTTTCCCGACCAAAATTGGAACGTAAAGAACTTACTCTCTCTTTTATTCTGTGTAAAATCTGTTCACCCTGTAGTTCAGACTCTACAAACATGTTCTGAGCTGCATCCTGGGGTTTTTGGATTAGTTTAAGTGTTGTAAATGATCGTGAGCCTGATTAAAACAATAATAAAAACACAAGGGATGTAACGATATCCAAATATCTTGGTACGATATTTATTGCGATATTTTGAAAAGGGCGAAATAATTGTAGACGGGAAACTTTTTTTGCTTTAAAAATGCCTTGACCAGATTTTGGTTTGAATTATTTCTGTCATAATCCCAAGAATTCAAGTCAAAAACATATTTCTTCATGTTTTCTGCACTGAAATGAATCATGGGAAATGTAGTTCCTGATGTTTATAAACTGTTGCTTCGGTAAAATCTGCATTTAAACAAAAGAACTTGTGATTTGATTATTGTGACAGTCCATGATATTATTGTGAGACTTTTGACGATACGATATCACGATATTTTGGTGATTGTTACATCTCTAAAAAACACTTTAGATTTTCTTCTTGTGCAGGAGTGAAGTGTCGTGAAGTGTCCTGACCTGTCCACGGACCTCCCGGGCCCCACGCCGAGCTCCGGCCGGGCGCTGGACAGAAGGTAACTGAGTCTGTCCAGGATGGAGGACGCCACGGAGAGCGCCGCCACGTTCTGGTTTATCTTCTTGAGCTCATTCACGACGGCGCTGGCCACGAGCTTCAGGACGTGATGAGGGAGCCGGAACAGCACCGTCGCCCACTGCAGGACGGAGGAAGAACAACGTTTACCTTTACAGAACTCTTTTCCTCTGCTGAAATAAAGTCAGAACAAAACAACGAGACAGAACATGTGCAGCGGACACAGGAGGAAAGAACCCTGGACCCTGTATCACACCGTTCAAGTTCAACAGACAGAGCTGTGCGGCTCTGTGCGGCTCTGTGAGGCTCCCTGTGGTTCTGTGTGGCTCTCTGCGTGGCTCTGAGCGGTTCTGTGTGGCTTGGAGCTCTGCGTGCGGCTCTGCGTGCGGCTCTGCGTGCGGCTCTGCGTGCGGCTCTGCGTGCGGCTCTGCGTGCGGCTCTGCGTGCGGCTCTCTACATTCTGTCTCTGCGTTCTGTGCGGCTCTCTCTGTGGCTCTCAACGTCAGTGTGATTCTGAGAGCTCTGTGGCTCTCTGCGTTCTGCGCAGCTCTGAGCTACTCTGAGCGGTTCTGTGCGGCTCTCTGTGTTGTGCGGCTCTCTGTGTTGTGCGGCTCTCTGTGTTGTGCGGCTCTCTGTGTTGTGCGGCTCTCTGTGTTGTGCGGCTCTCTGTGTTGTGCGGCTCTCTGTGCGGCTCTCTGTGTGTGGCTCTCTGTGTGGCTCTCTGTGTGCGGCTCTCTGTGTGTGGCTCTCTGTGTTGTGCGGTCTCTGTGTGTGGCTCTCTGTGGTGGTGTGGCTCTCTGTGGCTCTCTCTGTGGCTCTCTCTGTGTGAGGAGCTTCTGTGGCTCTCTCTCTGTGGCTCTCTGTGTGAGGCTCTCTGTGGCTCTCTGTGGCTCTCTGTGGCTCTCTCTGTGGCTCTCTGTGGCTCTCTGTGTGAGGAGCTTCTGTGGCTCTCTGTGGCTCTCTGTGCGGCTCTCTCTGTGCGGCTCTCTGTGGCTCTCTCTGTGTGAGGAGCTTCTGTGGCTCTCTGGCTCTCTGTGTGGCTCTCTGTGCTCTGTGTGGCTCTCTGTGGCTCTCTGTGGCTCTCTGTGCGGCTCTCTCTCTGTGGCTCTCTGTGGCTCTCTGTGGCTCTCTGTGGCTCTCTGTGGCTCTCTGTGGCTCTCTGTGTGAGGAGCTTGTGTGGAGTCTGGACGGGCTCCAGGTTCAGGAGGCGACGCTCTGAGCTGAATGTAAAGTACAGAGACTCACAAAGGACAAACAAGAAACACAGACCAAAGTCAAACAGACCGGACGCTGCACAAGAGACACACAGACGAAGAGAAGAGAGGAGGAGAGAAGGAGAGGAGAGAGAGAGAGAGAGAGAGAGGAGGAGAGAGAGAGAGGAGAGAGGAGGAGAGAGAGGAGGAGAGGAGGAGAGGAGAGAGGAGGAGAGGAGAGAGGAGAGAGAGAGGAGAGAGAGGAGGAGAGAGGAGGAGAGGAGGAGAGGAGGAGGAGAGAGGAGAGAGGAGGAGAGAGGAGAGAGAGAGAGAGGAGAGAGGAGGAGAGAGGAGAGAGGAGGAGAGAGAGGAGAGGAGGAGAGAAACAGAGAAAGTCAAACAGGACCGGACACTGCACAAGAGACACACAGAGAGAGAAGAGAGGAGAGAGGAGGAGAGAGAGGAGAGAGAGAACGAGGAGAGGAGGAGAGGAGGAGAGAAGAGAGGAGGAGAGAGAGGAGAGAGGAGAGAGAGAGAGAACGAGGAGAGAAGGAGAGAAGAGAGGAGGAGAGGAGGAGAGAAGAAACACAGACCAAAGTCAAACAGACCGGACACTGCACAAGAGACACACAGAGAGAGAGAACGAGGAGAGGAGGAGAGAAGGAGAGAGAGAGAACGAGGAGAGGAGGAGACAAGGAGAGAAGAGAGGAGAGAGAGAGGAGAAACACAGACCAAAGTCAAACAGACTGGACACTGCACAACACACACACACACAGAGAGAACGAGAGAAGAGAAGGAGAGGGGGAGAGGGGGAGAGAGGAGAGAAGAGAGAGAGAGAGGAGAGGAGAGCAGAGAGAAGAGAGAGGAGAGAAGAGAGAGGAGAGAGGAAGTGAGAGGGAGGAGAGAAGAGAGGAGGAGAGAAGGAAGGAGGAGAGGAGGAGTGAAGAGAGGAGAGAAGGAGAGAGAAGAGAAAGGAGGAGGAGAAAGGGAGATGATACAAGCAAAGAGGAGAAAAGAAGGAAGAGGTGGGAGGAAGGAAAGAATGAGGGGAGAGAGGAGAGGAGAGAGGGGAAGAGTGAGAGACAGATGAGAGGGAAAGAGAGAGAGCGATGGTGAAGGTGTAGGAGACGTGGCTGAGGTTGAGTCACCTCCGCTGCTCTCTGATTGGCTGAGACTCACCTTGGCGACCTTGTGATTGGCTGCGGTCTCGTGGGAGGAGTTCTTGAGTCCCTCTTTGAGCTGAGCGATGAACAGGTCGTATCCCTCCGTGTTTGAGACGTCGATCTTCTCCTGACACGCCGAGAGCATCTGCTGCGCCTGGAGGACACGAGGACACGAGGACAGGGTCAGAACTTCAACACTTCACGACTTTTACTGACAGGAGCTGAGAGAAGAACCACTAAACACCAAAAACACCTTTTCCTCCTGATTATCCTGAGTCTAAAACAGAAAGTATCTCTGTCTCTGGACTGTCTGTGTGACTCGTGTCTGTGTGACTCGTGTCTGTATCGGCGTCATGAGGATCGACTACGACAGGACATTTGAGTTTTGGACAAACAGCGCAGATGAGTCAGACGCAGGTTATTATGTGACGAGGGCAGACACTGGTGTCTATGGGAAGAACGTGAGGAGCCCCTCTCAGCCCCGCCCCCACCTGGCACCGCCAGGTCCCTCCGTGTCTGGAGAAAAGGGAAACGTCGTGATCCGAGCGCAAATGTCCGCTGTGTTTCAGAGTCTGGAGTGGACCGTCAGGAGGGGGTTTCATGACTCTTTAAAGAAGATTCTACAAACACAAATGAACATGACTCACGTGAGGCTCATTCTGTTTTCTGATTGGACCCTTTTTTAGAAATCTTATACACAAGTTTTCCTTTGTGCTTTGTCTTTTTACAGCTGATCGAACGTAAAGTTTTGTAATACTTCGTGTACAGACAGATACTGAAATTAAAGTCACAAAATAGTTTGTTATTATTACCGTTTGATTTTAGATTTTGGAACACAGTGTGTTAAAGTAAATAGTCCCATGTCCTGGAGACTGGATTGTTCCGCTGGAGCCCCACAGGGTGTTGTGTTATTGTTGTTGCTTTTTATTTTAGTGTCTGCAGAAGTGTTTTAATTACAGACATGTTCTGAAATGTGCAGACGACACAGTGACTCTGAACAGACACAGGAGTCATGGAGCTGTACTGGATGAGTTTATTGAACTGTGTGAACATTTTTATTTGTCTAAAGACTAAAAACATGATGTAGACTTTGGAAAGTCGCCCCCTAGCGACGCTCATTCTGTAATTCAGGGGAAAAAAGTTGAGTTTGTCTGAAAATAAATATCTGGAGACAATTACTGACAATTATTGTCCGACGCTTTGAACCAAACACTGACGCCATCTGCAAGAAAGTGCAGCAAACACTTTCTTTACTCGTTCTTTTTAAGGAAAATGAACTCTTAACATCAGTAATGTTCTTGTGAGCATTTTTATCAGAGTTTTATTAAGTCTATTCTTGCATTTAGTTTTGTCTGTTGGTTTGGTGTCTCTCTGTGTCTAGTAGAAATCATCTGGCTCAGTTTGTCAAAGTGGCAGGTAAATCTGTCGTCTTACACAGAGGTTCTCACAGAAAACTTGTTAGGTGGTGCACGGAGAAGAAGTGAGGAGCGAGGAGTGAGTGGAGATTCCGTAGTTTTGTGAGGATTCACATGGTTCAAAGTCAAGGCGAGGACCTCAACTATAAAGTGCTGCAGGAAACACACACTTACAGCTGCAGGACGTCTACAGAAGAAGAGTGATCTGCAAAGGCCCAACACATAATGGAAAGGCCCGATCGGTCGCTCCGTGAAAGGCCGATCGGTCGCTCCGTGAAAGGCCGATCGGTCGCTCCGTGAAAGGCCGATCGGTCGCTCCGTGAAAGGCCGATCGGTCGCTCCGTGAAAGGCCGATCGGTCGCTCCGTGAAAGGCCCGATCGGTCGCTCCGTGAAAGGCCGATCGCTCCGTCCGATCGGTCGCTCCGTGAAAGGCCGATCGGTCGCTCCGTGAAAGGCCCGATCGGTCGCTCCGTGAAAGGCCGATCGGTCGCTCCGTGAAAGGCCGATCGGTCGCTCCGTGAAAGGCCGATCAGTCGCTCCGTGAAAGGCCCGATCAGTCGCTCTGTGAGGAGTTTAACCTCCTTCTTTCTGGGCGGCGTCTGAGAATGACCCGGATCAGGAGTCAGGGAGGTCAGACTTCCTTCATTTCTGAAGCCATAACCAGGATGAACAGTCTTGTAGCTCGGATCAGTCGTGGTGAAATGCGGTCACATCTCCTGCTCTGTTTTCTGTTTTTAAGAGAATGTTTGTGTGTGTTGTTGGGCTGAGCTTTCGCTGTGGTTTAGTGTGTTATTAAATTGTATTGTGCGTTTACTGTGACACAGCTGCACAACTATTTCCGTCTAGGAGAAAGTTGAAAAACCCCAGCCCATTATTTCAGTAAAACACACCTGTGTGACTCTGGGGACAGAACGTTAAAGCCACACTTTGGAACATTTCCCGTGGCGACAGAGCGCTGGTCTCACCTCGGTGACGGGCAGCTCCAGTTGGACCTCATCCTCGGCTTTGCACACGGGCGTCTGCAGCGCCGTGTCCAGCAGCAGGATCCCGTTCAGATCTTTACGACATCCAACCGCAAAGTCGTCCACGAACAAGACCTTATCCACGGCCGGGACGTACTGGCACCGCACACGACCACCAGGGGACGCTAAAGAGGAGAAAACAACAATACATCACACTGTTATAGATAAACACAATCTAAAATAATCTGACCACCAGGGGACGCTGCAGAGGAAAAATGTGCAAAAATATCAAAATATCGCCATATCGTATCGTTTAATGTGATGATACAGTATCGTTATTGTGGGCTGCTGTATCGATACATCACCAAGAGTTTAGGTATATTTTAATAAATTATTTAGTGTAAGAGCTACAGTTGTGTTGACATTTTCCCTGTTTTGATGAGTAAAATGGGTGTTTTTCATATCAACTTCGCACAAACTTAGTCTACGTTCACACTGCACCTGAAGTTTCCCAAATCAGATTTTTCATCCCTATGTTCCTGTATCTGATCTTTTAAAGTGAGTCTGAACCACACAGATCTGATTTTTTCAAATGTGACCCAGGACACTTGGATCTGTGCTCCTCAAACTGATCCATATCTGATCTTTAACATGTGACTTGAGTGTGAACAGTCAGGTCACATTCATCCACCTACACGTCATCAACAAGACACAAACGTCACTATTCTGCACTGAAGTAGGAGAAAACTGTTCATGATCCATGTGACTGAAGTGAAGCACATCTCCACTCACCACAAAACACCACCACCAAAAACCTGCTCCTTCTCCTTCTCAATCTCCTCCTTAAAACAAGTCAGTTGTTCATGTTGTGGCTCCGGTACGAGAGGAACTTTAAAATCTCCAGGTGCTCGATGCTGCGTCCATGTTTGTTCAACTTGTGTAAACACAGAGACGCTCGCTGCGGTTGACGTCGTCGTGTCTCCAGTGTCACATGTGGGACACTTTTGGACCGTTTAATGTTCACACTGGAGTCACATACAAGTCACATTTAACTGGAAATGTGAACGACCTCGAAAAAACATCGGATTTCACAAAAAAATCTGAATTGAGCATCAAGTCCTGCAGTCTGAACGTAGCCTTAGTGGACTTTTAAATTTTTAGTATCACAGCCTTGATTTTGTCTTTTTTACATTAAACTATACCGAACTGATTTGAAATACCTCGAATCATATTGAATCGAGAGTTCACTGTATCGAAAAGCATATCGTATCGAGGTATGTATCGTACCGGCAACGTCTTAATGTGATCAGCCATAATTATAATCGTACAGTGCACACATTGGGCTGGGATCTTTTTTGTTTTCGATACAGGTACTTTTTGATCCTGGTGCATGAAAGAGCCGTTCTCGGTACAGGATTATTTTATTATTATTTTTATTAGTTCGGCTCTAGTCAAACGACACGATACTGTGAGAGACTTTGGGGAAAGGTGGCGTCTCATTGGTCCAATATTAAAGTTCAGATCTGGATTTAACGAATAACCAGTGAAATAAAAACTTCAGGATCATGTCAGGCAATTTCAAACCAAAACTTTTGTGGAAGCAGTTTAGCGACGTCCATAAATACAGTCCGCGGGTTTCACATCAGATGGATTCACGTTCAAAAAGGTTTGGGCCACAGCTTTAAAACAAATGAGTCAAACAGAAGAGACAAACGCTCACACAGTCTGTACGATTCAACTCTTACAGCCGCCTTTATCATAACACACATCAGGTTTGGAGAAAAGTACTGATGTCATTTTATTCATTTACTCAAAAAGAGGCCAAAAAATTAAAGCTAGATCACAACTTTGACCGACATAAACGTAAACATTTATATTATGAAAAGTGTTTAATTGTGATACGACGGCTTTAAAACACGTTGCTAAAAGAATTACTGTTTATCGATTTGATTTTCATCTCCATCTCTTTTCAAATCTCATTCTTATTTACAAGAATAAACACACTTCTCCGGCTTTAATCGTCCAGAATCGACGGAATCTTCAAACCCGACTGCACGTGACTTCAGAAAAAAGCCTTAAAAAGTCAAGCAGAAAATAAGTCCTTAAAAATCCGACAGTGTCCTCAGATACAGCAGGTCCCTCCGCTCACCTGGAACAATAATCACAACCTCGTCTCATCGTTCAATATGTGAAATCTGGAAGTATTTATGTATTTATTTGAAACAAATACAGTGCACAGAAAACATTAAACTCAGAGAGAGAAGATGCTCTGTGCCAGATTTAGCAACGAGCTCTTTTCCATCTTCAGTCCTCGAGCAGGAACAAAATACTTAAGGAAACTATTTACACAACAACATTTCATCAATAACAGCGTCTCCTTAAAATAACCACGATCCAATTCATCATCAAACATTTAAAACAATCAAAAGTCTTTCATTCAAATTTCCATCAACACAAGATTTCAAATTCATCGTGATCTTCTAAAAAAATTAATAAAATTCCTCTAAAATGTACATTTACCAGATTCATCAGTGTTATTTAAAACACTGTGGTCCCCAAACCTTTTTTGCACCATGAACCAGATTTATGTCCGACAATATTTCATGAACCGACAGCGTAAAGGAGGAGGCACAGTCCAGGCAGCGTACGTGAGAAAACACGACCCACGGGAGGAGGCACGGTCCTGGTTAAATCCTGGTTTAGACCTGGTTTAGACCTGGTTAAGACTTGGTTTTAGACCTGGTTTTAGACCTGGTTAAGACTTGGCTTTAGACCTGGTTTTAGACTCGTTTTAGACCTGTTTTAGACCTGTTTTAGACCCGTTTTAGACCCGTTTGGACCCGGTTTGGACCCGGTTTGGACCCGGTTTGGACCCGGTTTGGACCCGGTTTGGACCCGGTTTGGACCCGGTTTAGACCTGGTTTAGACCTGGTTTTAGACTCGTTTTAGACTCGTTTTAGACCTGGTTTTAGACCTGGTTTTAGACCTGGTTTTAGACCTGGTTTAGACCTGGTTTAAGACCTGGTTTGGACCTGTTTTGGACCTGGTTTTAGACCTGGTTTTAGACCTGGTTTTAGACCTGGTTTTAGACCTGGTATAGACCTGGTATAGACCTGGTATAGACCTGGTTTTAGACTTGTTTTAGATCTGGTTTTAGACTTGTTTTAGATCTGGTTTTAGACTTGTTTTAGATCTGGTTTTAGACTTGTTTTAGATCTGGTTTAGATCTGGTTTTAGACTTGTTTTAGATCTGGTTTTAGACTTGTTTTAGATCTGGTGCTGGTTTTAGTCCTGGTTGTCCTGGTTTAGTCCTGGTTTAGTCCTGGTTTAGTTCTGGTGTTCGTGCTTTCGCGGCCCGGTACCAAACGACCCACGGCCCAGTACAGGTCAACGGCCCAGAGGATGGGGTCCCCTGTTCTAAAATAAAATTCATCATCAACAACACGAACATCGAGACAAATGTCATGAGTTAAACACATCTACATCTACATCTACACAACAATCAGTTAGAAGGTTTAGGTGTTTGAGTGTGTTTAAAGTTTATACTAGTACATATCGGCTCAGTATTCAGTGTGTGTAGTTTCTTTGGGACAGTGAGGAGATTTTTGTTATTTTAGTTGTAATAGCTCAAGTTTAAGCTGTAGAGAGTTGAATAAGAAACTCTGATGACCTGATTCTTTTTAATAAAACGTGTGTTTAAACATTTTACTGGATTAACCTGGTTTGGTGTCACAGTCACAACACACACAAACACTAAAGTGACTCGAGACATTTGAATAATATGAGAGATTTATCTTTAGAGAGTTTGCTCCTTCAGACTCTGACAGGGCTGTGACTCTGAGTCCAAACAGGGAAATAAACACACAACACACAACACACAACACACAACACACAACACAACCCTCTGTGACGCTCTGAGCCTCTGAGTCCAAACAGGTAAATAAACTCTGACTCACAGTTTCTAAATCAGCGTCACCAAAAGAGTCACACATCAAACACTCTGATCCACACCCAGGACAACACAACACAACACAATACAACACAATACAATACAATACAATACACAATATAACATAACACAACAGAATAGAACATAACACAATGTAATATACATACACCAAAAGAATCACACAACAAACACTAATACACACCCAGGACAACACAAAACAACACAACACGTACATAAATATACACGTATATAAAATGCAACATCTACACAACTGATCCACACCCAGGTCTACAACGCAACACAACTTTATACATACTGTATATACACAACACAAGTGTACACACGTGTACACAACACAAGTGTGTACACAACACAAGTGTACACACGTGTACACAACACAAGTGTACACACGTGTACACAACACAAGTGTATATCTACAACACAAGTCTGTAAACATCTACACCACACTTCACAACACTACAGACATCCAGGGCTGGTATCACTGCGGTTGCCGATACGATACCTCGATACATACGCCACGATAAGATACATGTGTGAGCTTTTGATTCAATACGATATAATTCAAACTGATTCGATACAGTTCAATAAAAATAAAAGGTAAAATCATGTCTGTGATACTAAAAGTCTTTGTGTTTCATATGAACTTTGCACATGAAGTGGTTTAACAAACATTTTAATTATTAAAACAATGAAAATGTCAAATGTGTCGCATAAACGAGTTTCCTTCCTCTGAACAAACAACAAAACTGGAGCTGATCTGGAGCTGATCTGACCAGAAGTGAAGAAGCAGCTTGGATGACCCTGACCCTGTGAAACATCTTCAACCAAACTCACTCTGTCCAGTCGACAAACTGAACTTTCTCCTCTCTGTGGATTCTACCTGAACGACTGAGGGATTCTACACATAAATCATTTATTAAAATAAACCAAAACATACTCTTGGTGATATATCGATACAACAACCCACGATATCAATACTGTATCATCACATTATACGATACGATATATCGATATTTCAATATTTTTGCACATCCCTATAGACATCCACACAACACAAAACTACACACAAATACACAACAAAAGTCTATACACTTGTAGAGAACATGTTCAGCACTGTACAGACCACAGAGAAACAGAAGAGTCGACCATTATCTTCAATATTTACATCATTAAAATGTACTTGTTTAATGTAAACAAACAAAATGGACGACTGAC